ATCAGCGCTGTGCCGTGACCGCAGGGTTGCTGGGTCTTTGCGAGCTGGTTATAGGCACAAGGGCTCTTTCAACTGTACTCGTAACTCCAGGTCCTATACTACGTTAGCATATTTTTAAATGCTGTTTATCAGCGGGCTCTCTGTCTCCTGGAGATTCCGCCTTGTCCAAGTGCTTTCTTATGATGAGATATGGATGTTCCAGAACATCACCCTTTTGATGGTTTGTCACATTTTTTCATACTATTTTTATGTATGTTTTTTTAATGCTGATAAACATTCTGGTGTCAAACTGAGGGAGAGGAAAAGAGGAGAAAGAAGAGGCAAAAATAATAGCTAGAAGTGTTTCCAAAGCAGTAGGACTGTACTGATTAGAAATCCCATTAAGGAAGGTATCCTGTTGCTTAAATTAGAATATTCCAATTGAAATGTGTTTAGAATACAACCAATACTATATATTAGGTTCCTTTACCTCTCGGAGTAGGAGCAGGGAGGGGACGGGAGCCCACGGGCCTGCCTTTCCCCCTTTCAGAGAGGAAAAACAGAAAATTGGTTCCCTCCCTCATTCATGTATTGATAAGTGCCAGGCCCAACATTAGACATTGTGAAGAGTGAAAGTTATCTGTGGCCGGGCTGTGGGTATGCAGATGGCTTACATGCAGTAGGCCACATGTGCAAAAATGCACGACATAAGGCAGTACTCGGGAAGGACTCCGTGTGGGGGACAGACCGCCATGGAGGGGTAGTATCATGGCTCTTCTGGAATGGAGAAGTCAGGGCAAGCAAATGGGAACGATGTATTGAGCCACAACTTGGAGAAATGGCAGATGTCTTCTAAGAACAATTATAAGACATGTGGAAAGACCCTAAGAATCAGTATTAGAAAGTAGTTTACAGTTACCTGTTGAGAATTAAACTGTGTCGTTATAAAATAAGAGGCAAAGTGTCTTGAAGTCCAGAGGAAGGAGCACTTGCTTCACTGGTCATAGCTACTTAACTCAAGCAGTAATTAGTGGTGGTGTTGTTGTTGTTTTGAATGGTTCTCAGCAGAAGATAGGCTATACAGGAAATGGTGTATTGTGCGGATCCCGTACTTGCCAGGGAAAGAGAGAACTTCCAGGAACTTGAACTCCTTGGTCATTGGAGATGCGTCCCCTGCGGCATGGTGGAGATTCTTCATTGGCGTACATACCTCGGTGGGAGGGAAACATCCTCTCATTTACTTTCTCCCGGCTGTCACTAGGGCACAATGATCAAGAGTGCCGTCTCAGGATCATCACTCATTCAAATTCTGGCTCCAAACTCACCAGCTCTGTGACTCTTGCCAAGATATGATACTTGGTCTCCTCATGAATATAATAGAACTAAAGTTAGCTCTCTGCCAAGTAATTGTGAGCATTGAATGCAAGTAGTGGTCTGAAGAGTTTTACTCAGCGCCCAGCACAAAGCTGCAGATATGACCTGTAATTTTGCCCTTACCCAGGGGCCTTAATCACTCATTTCTGGCTATCTGAATCATCTGAAATAGGGCGTGCAGAACAGATGCTTAAGCATTCCAGAAAGTAACTCAGGTATCCCGTCATAAATTAACACTTCGCAGCATTCTCAAATGGTGCTGGTTATCATCAAGAACTAATCATTCCTGGGTGTGAGGGCGGTCTGGGTGTGACGTCTGTCAGCCCACTGATGGCCAGGGTGGCCTCGGCGGATCTGGCTGGCTGGGCGGGTGTCCCCTTCCTCCCACACCCATCCATGTGTGTCCCTCCTGAAGCAGTGCGCTCAGTCAAAGAGGACAACCTTTTCAACTAGAGGAGAGGACCGGCCTTCTGTCAAGAGTATACCGGTACCTGCACTCCCAGGCTAGAACCTCTGAACAAGCTCAAAAACTAACTATTCCCAGGAGGTTTGGGAACCTGCTGTTCCAGAACCTACTGCAAGGCAAGGGACCTGCCAGAGTAAACCTACCAGTCTTTCACGCCATCCCAGAGATTATTTCGGAGGTGACAGTGGCTGGCTTTCATTGGGCGTCTGCCGTGGGCCAAGCACCGCACAAAGTACTTTCCACCTGTGTTGGCTAAGCCTCAAAAATGACTCTTCGGGGTAGGTTATTAAAATTCTCCACGTTTACAGAGCAGAACAGTAGAGCTCGGAGATGCTAGGAAACTCCCTGAGGCCGCACCCTGCTGTTCCGTGGCAGAGGCAGAGTGTGAGCCCCAGAGCCTCCACCTGCCCCCTCAGCCCCTGTGCTGCGCTGCACCGCACCGGACTCAGAGCAGGACAGCCTGGTTCCAGATCCAGTTCCACTTCTTTCCGGGACCGTGGTCCTGAGCGAGCGGCTTTTGCCTCTCCAACTCCAAGCTCAGAGCCTCCATCTAAAACACAAAATGAGTGATTCCTCTGTGGGCCCGTTCGGATTAGAAATAAGCCACCGAAGGACCTGGCGCAGTTTCTGATATTCGAAAGCGACTCCAGTGACGGGGTCGTTACAGTTTGGGGCTCTCTAGACTGCTTTCTATGTCCCAGGGTCCCCCTTGGCATGTGACCTCGGTGTCTCTTTGAGGTAAAAATAAACCTTTGTACTTTTCAGGGGCAAATGCATGCAGAATATGCCTTCCTTGTTCAAACTAGAAAGTAACTGAGGCTGGTACCTGTTTTAAAGACTGACGGTTCCTACATGGCCATATAAATTCCTTTTTACTGTTTTTATTGTGATAAAATATATATAACAGAGAAAGAAAAAGGAAAAAATATATAACATAAAATATGCCATTTTTTTTAACAGTTACTAAGTGTGCAGTTCAGTGGCATGAATTACAGTCACACTGTCCTGCGGCTGTCACCACTGTTTCCAGATCTTTCTTGTCACCCTAAGGCAAAACTCTGTCCCCATTACGCAGTGACTCCCTCTTGCCTCTGCCGCCCTCAGCTCCTGGTAACTTCTAACCCATCTTCTGTCTCCAGGAAGTTGCCTGCCGTAGGTATTGCATGTGTGGGAAATCACACAGTGTTTTCCCTTCTGTGTCTTGGGCCGTTTCACTCAGCAGATGTTTTCAGAGTCCGTCCACGTTGTGGTGTTTATCAGAACGTCATTCCTTCTCGTGGCTGGATAATGTCTCACTGCACGAATATGCCACGTTTTGTTTTCCTGTTCGTTGATGGGCTTTTGAGTTGTCTCCACTGTTTTCGCCACGTACACTTCAAAAGTATCTGAGTTTGAAATTCCTCGTGGTAGTGATGTTGAAGACCTCATTACAAGTAGTGACTATTTTTCGCCCTGGCTGGTGTCGCTCAGTGGATTGAGCGCGGGCCAAACAACCACGAACCAAACAACCATGGTTCGATTCCCAGTCAAGGCACATACCTGGGTTTGCAGGCCAGTTCCCAGCAGGGGAGGCATGAGGGGCAACCACACATTGATATTTCTCTCCCTCTCTCCTTCCCTTCCCCCTTCTCTAAAAATGAATAAATAAAATCTTTAAAAAAAAAAACAACTGTGTATTTACACGAGTAAGTGTGAGGGAAATTGTGAAACACACAGTGAATTAAATAAATAAATGTAGTAACTTTTTAAATTAAAAACTATACCCTATTCAGAATTTCTTTTTAGTCTACACTGAGTTATTCCAATCAAGCTAAATCATTGTACTTTTCATATTACGTAGTTATTGGTAGAGACATGTAGAATATATTTTAAGGAAGATGGTACCTGCCAGAGTTAGTAGATATTTTTATGTTTGCCAAGCTCTACTTTTATGTCTCTGAATCAAATGAAGTATTCCAGTTGTAAAATATGGTGGAAGCACATGATACAATCAGTGCAGAGCAGATGATATATTTTATACTTCCTCTTCCTGTTTTTAAAGAATGGTACTTTACGTGTCTAGGGAGTAAGCATTTCTGTTTATTCATTAGAAGAATTTTAAAAGTTGTATTATTTAGGTTTTTCAAGAATGACTGGAATAGATTTGATTCAAATCCAAAATAATGCTTGGCAAGCATAAAAATAAATCTAAATCTGGCTGACATCATTTCCCTTAAAATGTAATGTGCTTTTTGAACAGAGGGGATAAAATATGACCGATAAGGGGCTTCTAATCTATTTTGTAGATCTTTAAAATGTTAGCAGGGTCCTTGGAACAGATTGAGAGTTTTTCCAGTTTCAAATAGATAGCCTAAAACTAATCATGACTCTCTTTTTTTTTTTTTTTTTTATTGTATAAAAGAAATTTGCTCAGGCCTTCAAACCAAAGGATCTTGGTTCGATTCCCAGTCAGGGCACATGCCTGGATTGCAGGCCAGTTTCCTGCAGGGGATACACAAGAGGCAACCATACATTGATGTTTCTCTCCCTCTCTCCTTCCCCTCTAAAGATAAATAAATAAAATCTTTAACAACAACAAAAAAAGAAATTTGCTGAGAATTCTAAGGTGCTTTTCCAGGGCCTACTTTCAGGAAGTAAAAAATGTAATGAGAATATAGTACAAACATAGGCTACCTAAAGTTCCCCCCCCCCACATGCCCTTGATATATACTTTTAAATGTTTCCATTTGCAAATACTTCTGGTGTTTGGCCAGATAAGGACTCACACCGCTAAGTGTCACTTGTCTGGTTAAGAGTCCAGGTCTGACGTGAGTGATCACTTTGACATTGAAATTACCTCCTTTACGCAGCAATCTCTCATGAAGGCCGTGGTCCCAACATTTTGCCTGTGAAAATTGCCTAAAGAACTTAATGCATACTTTCTGGGCTTGGTCCACCACGATTCTGATTTAATCGACTTAGTTTAGAACTGGACAGGCTCCACAGGTAAGAAACATGCAGCCAGGGTTGAAAACCACTGGGTTCCAATGAGAACCAGGTGAGGTGAGATGGGCTTGCCAGGTGGGAGAGGCAGCAGGAATGAGCTGCCGTGCTTATCATCCAACAGCCCAAGAGAAGAGGGAAGTGAAAGCTCCCTGAGCATCCAGAATTTAGAGTCACTTTTCTCTTTTTGTCGTTGTAGACATGGAAGGACTTCAATGAAACGTAAATGATTCAACAGAAGATGCTCCAATGGATGACTGTGAGACACCTGCATATAACCTTCAGGTAGAACCACAAGATGGCTGTCACCCTGGGGACGGTGTGGAAAGTACAGTGATACCCTTGCCTTCTGCAGCAGATGAAAATGAAAACCAGTTTGGCGGGGACGGGCATGAATGTCTGACCAGTGGTGGCAGCACAATGGGCAGACCCGAAGTGACCGAGCAGGACAGTCTCAACAATAACGCCAGCTGCACCCCAAGCTGTGAGGTGGCTGCAAGTGAGAACTCGGAGACCGCTCCCCGTGAGGCCCCCAGAGATGGGCAGGACTGGTCTCCCTGTGAGGGCCCCACAGATGGGCAGGACTGGCTGGGAAAGGACAAAAAAATACCTGGAAAGAGAAGTTCAAGAAGCAAAGGAGGCACTGCTAAGAAGATACCCCCAGGTATTTTTTTTAATTACTATTTATGCTGTTCTTAAAAATAAATCTTCCTCCCACCCCATACTGTAGATTCTGTCCTGCATCTTGCTTTTCTTCTCTTGTTTTAGAGCTTATTACGTGTCCAGCTGTGTGATGTGCCTTGCATGTGACATGTCTCCGTAGCGTTCCACTGTACTGGTGCACCATCATCTATTGACGTTCTTTGTACTTGTCATCACTGTGACTTTGATCTTGGACCTGTGAGTTTGTGGTGCTGGCACAGTCTTACGCAGCCTCTTTATAGAATCTTTGCGTTGCGCCCGATAGGTGAATAATGGACATTTACATGTAAGGTTGAATAAGATGTCAGGCTTTAATTATCTCTAATCACTTTGGTTACAAAGCAATCCAGAGTATTTTTTTATTGGGTGTGTGGTTTGGCAGTTAGAGTTTTGGTCTGTGGACGGTTTCACCTGAATGGCAGGGCAGCCTTGGGAAAAGGCAGCCTCTGGTCATTTTTGGTTTGCAGGCCCGTGCTCAATCCACTGAGCTACACCAGCCAGGGGAACCTCTGGTCATTTTTGATCAGAAACACGGGACAGAGCGCTCGGCACGGCCCACCTGGGCCTCCTTAGGAGAGCACCGCTTCACCCAGACATCAGGCTCCAGCAAGCGAAGCGCTGTCTCTGCTCTTCTCCTTGCTTCTGCTGTTTTGGCTGATTAAAGATACAGTCGGTCCATTCATATCTTGATTTTATTTGTATTTTTATTTGGAGTAAAACACGAAACTTTCCAGTTTCTACAGATCAGTCCTTATTTATTTTATAAAGCAACTTGATAACTTTTTATTGTAACTCATAATTTGAATTTTAATCCCTTTGTCTTTGATTTTCCTTAGTAGGCTTAAGAGCAAATTAAAATAATTTTGGCAAGAGATATGAAAGCATTTTTCTGACAGGTCTGAATTAGCAGATGATATATACAGTGCTATTTGTATATAAATTGATTTATTCTTTATAGTTCAAGGGCAGTTTGGGCCTCTCTGACCTGATCATGTGATGTTTTTAGGAACCGAGACCTAGTTACATATATATAAGGGTCAGTAATAGCGCCCAGATTACGACTCCTTGCGTCCCTCCCCTCCATGACCTTATTCCAGTTCCCAAGGTGTGGCTGCATGCTTTAAAGTTATTCATACTTGCTCCCAGTGAGCAGGTATGTCTAAAATTACCCTCCCCTAATACATCTCATTAATATGATTTCTAAAACTTAGGTATAGTCTTTGTACAGATTATTTGTTAAAGTATTGTATGTACCCTATGAGTGTAAGAAACTGAATTAGGAGTTGTGAAACCTAAGTTTAAATCTTCCTTCTGGTTCTAGGCCACTTGGTGGAGACCTAATTATTCTGTTCTTCAGTTTCCTCATCTGTATAATGACGATGTCCATCTGCATGTATCTATACTGAGCAGTGAATTTCTTAGACTTCTGAATAGAAATGGCATAGTCTACACAGTTAAAGTTTGGTGATTCCCCTCTAGCGTATCTGCAGAGTTGTTTATGTGTAAGGGATACATTTTTATTTGTACTTTACGTTTCGTTAAATTAAAAGAAGTCAGGGTGGGCAAAAGAATTGTAAACTGAATGAAAGGATTCTTTTGAGGCTGGAATTACCCCCTCGTGACCTGAAAGGGACCCAGCATGGGAAGCCTCGGGATTACCTGCAAGCTTTCCTCGGTTTGCCCTGAGAGGCCCCGAAGCCTGTCCTTTACCAGCACACAGAGCGGTCACCGGCTCTAAGTGATCGTGGTCCCTGCGCTCCCTCTGGCAGGCCCGTTCCCCTCCATCTCCACTGCCGGGGCTCGGAGTCAGGGTGTCGAGCCGGAGTCCTGCAAAAGCCCATGAAGGTGTCTCCCACCGTGATTCTCCACAGCCCGCGCTGTGTCTAAACCAGCAAAGCAGGCAGTTTGTGCTCGACATGGGCACATTTTCTCTTCTCTTTACTGTGAGATTTTTAAAAATTATCTCATTGTTGTTCAAGTACAGCTGTCTGCATGTACCCCCCACTGCTCCCCCCGCACCTCAGCCATCCATACCTCCTTCCCCTGGTTCCACCCGGCCCTGGTTTTGTCCATGTGTCCCTTACAGTTGTTCCTGAAAACTCTACCCCTTTCCCCCCATTATCCCCTCCCACATTCCCTCTGACTCTGAGATTTTAAAATCCTAAGTAAGTACAGTCTCAAAATTTTGCACATAAGTATTTTTTTAGTAACAGAATAGTTTCTAAAATGCTAAATGACATATAAAACAGGACATTCAATCCCAAACCAGAAATGTTTGTGGTAGATAAGTGCTCTCTCAATATAGTTTTAGAATCCTATATTAAGGTAAATTTATTCATTCTTATGCTCCCTTACCTAGTTTATAATTTATAGTACTTTTTCAGCATCCCAAAGCTAGTATTGTAAAAAAAAAATAGAACAGTAATAGTATTTATTAAGAGACATGTCATTATGTATAAGACAACATTTCTATAAACCTGCTAAAACCTTGAACTTGGCCTCACCTAAGTCCAGTTGTCATTACATTATGAGCTTTTCCTCCTTAAGAGAATTGAATCCCCTTCATGTAATGCAGGGTTACAGGCAGTATCATCACAACAAGTTTTCACTGGCATAGATTTAGGTAAGTAATATTCCGAAAATTAGCCTATCAATTCTGATAGTTTTATTGAGGCATAATTCTCATGCCGTGGAACTCACCCACTTGAGTGTACAATTCAATGACTTTTAGCAAAGAGCTGTGTGACCGTCACTACCGTCCGCTTATGGGCGCTTTTGTCACTGCACACAGCAGCCCGCACCTGTTCGCTGCCCCTCTCCATCCCCCACAGTCGTCCCAGCTCTGGGCCACCACCCGTCTACTTCCTTCCTCTTTGGACTTGCCTGCGCTGCACAGTCCATGCACAGGGAGCCTTACAGTGTATGGTCTTTAATGACCGGCTTCTTTCACTCAGCATAATGCTTTCAAGCTTCGCCCGTGTTGTAGCGTGTATCAGTGCTTTATTCTTTCTGTGGTCAAATACTCTACTGTAAGCGTGTATGACATTGCGTGTATCACATTGCATGTATGCATTTGTCCAGTGCTGGGTGTTTCAGCTAGTTCTACTTTTTGGCTGTTATGAAGAATGGTCCTAGGACATCTGTGTACAAGTGTTTGTGGGGACATACATTTTCCTTTGAGGGGGTTATGTATGCAGAGGAGTAGAATTACTGGATCATAAAGTAACTAACTTTTTGAAGGACCTGTCAAACTATTTTCAAAAGTGACTACACCATTTTACATTCCCATCAGCAATATATGAAAGTTATAATTTCTCCACACTTCTCCAATCACTTGGTAATATCTGACTCTTCTGGTGACAGCCACAGTTTCTTTTCAATTTAGATGTAATTTGCATGCCATAAAATTCACCTTTATAAAGTGTACAACATACTGGTTTTAGTATATTCACAAGGTTACACAACCATCTAGTTCTAGAGCGGTTCACCCCCCCCAGAACAGCTCTGAACCCATCAGTGGCCACTCCCCACTTTCCCCCACCCCATCCCCTGGCAACAGCTGGGACATAAATTTTGCAAGGTCATAAGATACAAGTTCAGATTAAGTGCCTGATGGTCCGCAAACAGCACACTTCAGTTACTCCCTCGGTCACCATGGTATCTAAACATTTGTCGGAACAGTTCAGCCAATGGCAGGAAGCCAAAGACAGGCAGCAGACAGAAACTGAAAAAGGAAGACCCTTCCAGACGGACTTGGCCACTCTTCAGTGCCCAGACTTGTTCCACCGGAGTCCTTCACAGTGTGGCCTCTGGGAGGTGACAAAGAGGGTCTGCAGGCTGAAGACAGACAAACCTTAGAAATGGATTCATATCCTGCAGTTGGGCTTGGGTAGTGAAAAGAACGGAGACGTCGGTATTGAATGGTGGCTCTAGCTGTTCCTGCCTCTGTAACCCAGAGAGGCAGTAACTCATTTCCCCGAGCCTTCTTCTTCTCTGTGGGAGCACAGATCCACCCTGTCTCGCAGCATTGTCCTTAACATGCGCCCTCCCAAATGGGAAGCGCTCTGTAAAGTGCCCGGTAGAATATTGGTGGTTGTCACCTGTGTCACTGGATTTTTAGTGGCGTGGCGAGGAGCAGCATTCAGGAAAATTCAGACATTTGTGTCATGTGACTAAAGCCATCTGACCTCTTTGTCACTGTCTTTCTTCTGAGATCTTTGTAATATGTGCTTTTTAGATTTACCCACCCTGCCCTTCTCTCCCCTAAAGTATATTCCTAAAAACATAGCTTCAGCCCTGGCTGGTGTAGCTCAGTGGAATGAGCGCGGGCTTGCAAACCAAAGGCTCGTGGTTCGATTCCCAGTCAGGGCACATGCCTGGGTTGCAGGCCAGGTCCCCAGTAGGGGACACATGAGAGGCAACCACACATTGATGTTTCCTCTCCCACTCTTTCTCCTTCCCTTCCCCTCTCTCTAAAAATAAATAAATAAAAATTTTAAATAAGATTACTGGCTTTGGCGGGGCTCTGTTTTCAAAAGAAAACAAAAAAAAAACATATCTGCAGTGCCTGCTAGTCATGCCCGCTGGCATGTTCACTGGTATCTGAAATAATAACTGGTGATGCTGGAAGTCTGAATCCACAAAGTAGATTTGCATTTTGCATATCTGGCTTCTACCAGAGAACCTTTACAGGTAGCCTTAAATATATATGTCTTTCTATTTGTTAGAGACAGAAAATATTTGCATGTTCAGGCTTGTGAGAAGATCATATAATTTATATATGGGCACATAAAATTTGATAATTTTATTCATCCTGGAGAATCAAGGAATATTTATATGATAGCTGATGAATTCAGTGTGCTTAGAATGAACTGGGAAATATGGTAGAAACTTAGCCATTTCAGTATTAGCAAAGCTGTTAGTGTACACCTGGAGGGAAAACAATTATTAATTGCATTTGCAACTCTGATACTCCAGCTGCCTGTACACCTGGATAAGAAGTTTAAAAGTTAGCAGAATTAATTGCATGCTTAGGAAAATCCCTTGCATATTTCTAATATGTAATAAAACATGTTAAAGTGTAAACTGTCCGATCACACCCCTGAGAGGATCCAAAACATCGGTGCTGGTGGGCACAGACAAAATTTAAACCCCAGCGATGTTGAGATGTAACGAATCGCGCCTTCTGTGTGAGTTAGAAACAACTGGGAGGGCGGTCTACAAAGTGGTGGAACTTGAGGGAATTGCTCCAAGTGCTATGATTTTAAAAAAAAAACAACAGAAGGTGTCACTGCCCACGGGGTTTCCTACTTTTACAGCCTAAGAACCCGCAGACACAGTGTCCAGCGCAGGAGCTACGTACACCGTGTGTTAACACTTGTTTCTGACCCATCTCCCGGAGGTACAGGCAAGATGCACCTCAGCGCGAACGAGGAAGATGGTGCAAGGAACTCAGGTGTGCAGTAGCTCAGAGATTAGTGACGTGAAACCACAGGCGTGAAGGCACTTTGTTCTATTTTCTTATTACAGTAAAGTGCATATGTAAATTTGCCATTTTAGGTGTGCAGTTAGTTCAGTGATATCAACTACACACTATAACCACCACCACTGTCTCCTTGCAAAACCATCACCCCAAACAGAGACTGTAGGAAGAAAGCAACGAACTGTCCATCTCTCTTCCCTTAGCCCCTAGAAGCCTCTGTTCTCCTGTTTTATTTGCCTGTTCTAAATACGTCACCTAAGTGGAGTTGTAGGGTATTTGTCCCTTTGTGACCAGCTTTTCCACTCAGGATGTCTTCAGGTCCATCCATGTCACAGTATGTGTATGATGAAGCATTGACCAGTCTGGCCAGAGCCGTGGGTTTGTTTAGAAGGCAGTAGGAGCAGGGCTCCAGACACAGTCATGGCGAACGCACATGAATCGCTAAGGAAGGGCCTTGCTGAGGCAGACTAGCTGAAGGCCTGTACTGAGGTTTCAGTGGAGGTGGAAGTTACAATGATAATGGCTAATTTTTTATAACCTTGTGTATCATTTCAGGAGCTATGGGCCGAGCATTTATTTACTAGTGATTTTTTTTTCTTTCTAGAAGTTTGTATTACTTAACTTCTTCTTATTAGGAGAAATGTTTCTGTGGCCATTAGCTTTGGCATGTCTGCTCTTCTGGGATTAAGAAGTAGTTCCAAAGTTAACAGACCAGAGTTTGCAGAGGGAAAGTTCACCTCAGCAGCCAGCAGTTTCATGGGATAAACACATCTGTCTTCTTGTTCAGTTCTGTTTCATGTGGGGCAAGCTCAGACTTCAAATTATAACTAATCCATTTTTTCCTTTAGGATAATCAAGTTTTTGTTCGGGTCTTAACCTGCCTACTTCTATTTAGATCTCATCTTATTAATACTTTTAATTACAATCCTGCAAAAGTCGGTTTACGTGTGTGCTGACAGAAGCAGTCAAATGTCAGCACGGTCTTAATCAGGACATTAACTGTGGCTTCTGGGGCTTTTTCATGGAATTGGTTTTATTTGTAACTTTTATTGTGAACAGACATAATTTTTTGAGGTGTTTACCATGGTGGAAATTTATCCTAACATAGGCATCATATTTACTTCTTCAAGGACTTGCTGCGGGAGATGCCACACCTTTCATGCAAGAAGATGTTCTGGGTGCAGCCACCCTCGCTCTTGGTGACGAAGAGTCTGCCGCAGTCACCGCCAGCGACCCGCCGGAAGCCCCAAAGCTGGCTCTGCAATCCCTGTTCTCACTCATCCGGGGTGAAGTGGAGCAGCTGGACTCCAGGGCACTGTCCCTTTGCCTTCATCAGGTACGACGTTAACCCTTCACCTGCTGCCTCACTAACATCGCGGCCCCAGCGTTAGTGATGACCTGAAGTCCAGTCCTGTGTGAGTGACTCTACCGCACGTGTCATGAGTGAGCCCAGGAACAGGTGGCCCTGGGGGAGGGGGTCTGGGAAACTTGAATGATGGGCTAAAGGCCACCCGTGGGTAGTGGATCTGTACTTCGAACAGTCGCTAACTTCTTTTATTTAGCAAATAAGCTCAGGTGGAAGTGAGTATGGGGGCGTGCATGGGAATGGAAAAAGTACGATTCACGTATTGTAAAAATAATAACAAAACATAAAATAAAAGTATGGGCTTCAGTTCTATATTTCAGAGTCAAGGGGGCCAAATTGCTGGTGCTGGAAGATGATCTGACTTTGGGTGGTGAGCACACAGTCTACCATGCAGATCGTGCGTCATAGACATATACACACAATCCCATCAAACAAGAACAGCCCGATACACTTCATGTTTTTTTTTAGGTATGGGTTATGACTCTACCACTGATAAGCTAAGGGCCTTTCTGTTTTTTCTGGAAAGTTGTAGATGAGTAAATGACATAATGTGTGCAGAAGCATTTAATGTAATGCTGGGTACATAGTAAATTCAGGTAAATACCAAGCAGCATAACCATGTTCTCACTGTCACCAACTCAAAGATTGCTAGTTCGAATGGAGGACGGGGGTTAACAGACACTTGGAAGCTCGCGGTCAACTGAGACATCGGGGCAACGGAAGCCAGCTGATGGCTGTACTCCTCAACCCGACAATGCAAAACTGTTGCTACCTCCCCAGGGAGACTCAGATCAGGGAGAGGGGAAGTGACACCTGTTTTATTTCAGCAGTTCTGGGCACCCCACGCTGTGCCTGTCACCTGGACTCACCAGTTGTTGACCTTTCGCCAAATTTTTGCCCTCTGTCCCCACATATTTCCCGTGGAAACACTCTTCCCTCACGTCCAGATCCATTCAGCAGGTCCTGCAGATCTGCTTCGAAATAACGTCCAGAATCAGATCTCTTCTTATTCCTCCTTTGCCCCTGTCTCAGTACAAGACCCCGTCGACTCTCACCTGTGTTCCTGCAGTAAACGCCCACCAGAAACCTCCCTGCTCTCACTCCTGCCTCCATGTGGTTTTTCCTCCGCACAGCAGCCCCTGGGGTGCAGACGAAACGCCAGTCGGGTCACGCTACTCCTCTGCTCACAGCCCTGCACTGGCTTCCTGTCTCATTCACAGTAGGAGCCAGAATCCTTGTCCTGGCCTGCAAGACCCTACGTGATCCGGCTGTTACCTCTTAGACCTACAACTCCCCTTCCGATCCACTCCCTTACAGGTGCACTGGCCTCCTAGGACCGCCTCATATAGACCAAAGGTGTTCCTACTTCAGGGCCTTTGGTCTCTCCTTTCTACCCTTTCTCAGGAAGCTACTGCAGGGTGTGCTCCACCCAAACAAGGGAGTAAACTGAGGAACAGGGAGATGTGAGATAACAGGCAGCTGGGGATGCTACCCAGGAGAGAGGTGAAGGGAATCTCCAGGTGAACAGAGATTCTCAGATGACAGCTATGTACCAGGAAGGAGAGGGTAATCGGCCCTACCCGGAGCAGATCAGACTAATCTGATCTGATAAAACACAGGCAGAATCTTGAAAATCAGTTGATCCCTGCTGAAGTCCTCAGGGTAGAAAATATGGATTCAAACTTTAGATTAAACTAAAAATTTCCAGAACGGTGACATCGACATTGCTCGTGGAAAAGTGTTACATCTGTAGAATAAACTTTAAGTTAAGCATGTATTTTCCTTTAAAAGGATGCTGTTTCCACTGTGGAATTTGGAAAAGGCCATTTCTCTCATTCCTAGTGTATAGAGTTGACAAATAGCTTATTGTTCTTTGCATTGGCAGCCACCTGGAAAATGGAGATACTGATCTATACTTGGGGCACCTTTTTTTACTACAGATTTAGTACAAGTCAGTGGAAACTTTTAGAAATGTAAAGTACTTACATGAACTGCTCTCAATATGGCAACAGTTTATGCAGGTATTTCTCAGACAATATTTTCTGTTTTATAAAAGGTTCTGTTTATAGATAAAGTTCTAAATAAAAAATCTCCAAGTTTTTGGAATCAAAGAGTTTCTCCATTGAAAGGTGCCTTAGAATGAATCTCATAAGGGATCAGCCTGAACTTGGACCAGACCCTGCCCCTCTGGACCCTCCATCCAGTGCCCTTTACTCTCTGTAGCACATTGCTCAGATTCAGACATCACGTAGCAAGTGGCCCAGCCTTCTCCGTGACAGCAAAACAGAACCAGAAGTCAGTGTCCCTCAAGGTAGTTGGTGAAACAGGAATGAAATGAGTGGCGTTTCAAGGTCTCATATGATATGACATGTATCAACTTTTTAATTGACAATAAACAAAGTCATTCTCAAACTCCTGGTGTCTCTTTATAAGCCTCTGTTGTATTTTCCTCATTCTTTAGAGTTCTGACTTGTAAACTCTGATGAGTCAGTAGAGCTTGCTTTGACTTGGAATGGAACAGGAAGAGGGAGGCGGCAGGAAGGCCACAGAGTGTCTGCCTGCCTGGCTTGACCAAAGTGGCTTCAGCAACGCGTCCTGTGCCCACGGTCAGATTTCTCGTGAACTGGGAAGTGCAGTTCAGGTTTTTCTTTGTTTGCTATTAAAGACTTGCAGGGTTTCGAGGCCTTGATTTCTCCCCAACTTGACTTTTCATCTGAATATTAATTTAAATAACTGTTTTTTATTTATTTTTAACAGATGGCCGAGTCCTATTTCCAGGAGGAGGACTGTATCCTTTTTCTTAATTCCAGGAACAAATTCACAGAACCCTTAAAAAACTGGCCATTTTTTTCCATTGAGATTCACATACAGTAAAATGTGTCGATCTGTCATTTTCAGTGGGTAATCAGTACAGAAAGTGAGATGCAGGGAATTTCTGTCGCTCCAGAAAGTTCTCTAGCACTAACGAAGTTTGGCTGTCAGTCAGTGAGCCCTAACTTGACCAGAGTCTAAATATTTGTGTGTTGCAAGAGTGTGGGAGCACATTGCTGATAACCGGAATTTAAAACTCGATTGGGTTTTCTTCCTTGGGAACTGAGCGGAGGTACAAGGCCGCTCACACTCTCATGGTGCAGCAGGTCGACACACCTCGCATGGTGCATCTCCCAACCGTCTTCCATCTGCCCGCAAAGGGGAGATTGCCTTTGTCACCCCAATACACAGAATAACTGTCAAGGGAGGCCGTATGTTAACTTTGTGTAGGAAAGAGCCTTCCCTCCTTTTTTCAGTGTCCCTCTTTAAATATGACTCTTGTGTTTGAGGGATGGCCCAATATATATACTCCCTAGAAAGAATGTATCATCAAGGTCTGTTCTTCCCCATTTGGGTGACTTTTTTCCCCTCCTGACCTTGTTGGCTTCCACCACAGCTTGGAGCACATTGAGAGGTAGGTAGTTATCACCCTGAACTCCATGGAGCAAGCCAGTGATGTCTTCGGTTTATTACTAAGTATGTAGAAAGCCCAATTCTGGAGGAAATGAAATGATGCTAGAATGCCTGCCTTTTTTTTTTTCCAGCTAAAGAGTCTGATGTAGCCCAGTGCTGACCAGCATCATTACCTCTGGGAGCTTCTTAGAAATGAAAATTCATGGGCCTTAGAATCAGAGTTTCTGGAGCTCAGACCCATGAATCTGTATTTTAGCAAATTTGTCAGATAACTTATATGTTCAGTCAAGGGAGAAACATGGGTATACTGTAGGTTATGGGCAGAGGACATTGGCATTAATTGTCCCTGCTTCTTCGTGGCCTATTTTGTGATCCCTGGCGTATCTTTAAGTCTACAAACTAGAGAGAGGACTGAACCTCTGAGTGATCTTGTGAAGGGCAGAAAACGAAACAGTTTTTCTCTTCCTTCTTTCTGGGTCAACATTCAGAACATGGCCCAAAGGAAGATAGACAGTTGGGCGATTTATCCTGACCTCATCTGATGCTAATTATGTAACGCAGATGGAGGTGGCAGAAGTTTATAAGAACATCTACAAAAAGGTGGAGTCACATAATTGTGAAAATTACTGTGGCAAGTTCATGAACGTTTTACAAAAGGTCCGTATACTATTTGGCTCTGTCCTTGTTTGGGCGTGTGACCCTTTGGTTTTGTGGGAGAAAAGCGTTCAGTGAGAAATCAGTCAAGGATCAAGGTGAGTTGAAATCACAAACGGGTTGGCAAGAGGGTAACAGTTGCTTGACAGAAAGTAATTTAAGGAAACAGATTGCAGGATTCCAGATGGGTCCCATTTCCACTTAAATTACATTTACTTGGACTGCCAGGCCTACATGATGAGCAAGCAGGCATTCCTGGAGCATTAAAGTTTTCTTTGAGTTTCTACTGTTTGCTTATAGAATGGAACCCAAGTAGCTATGGCATAATATGCTACATTAAAATGAACCTACTTCAAAACCAAGAAACTCTAAGATTTGTCTAAATTTAAAAATATTTCAAGTCCTCTCGTTTTTTAGAATGCTTCAGATTTCTCATTGTATATAGGATATCATTCTTCAAGTATGGGACTTAAGCAAATAGTCTGGATTTCTGTTTTCCTCAAGCTTTCTATTCAGATGAAAAAGCGATGAAATTCATACAGCTCGAACGCCTGTATCATGAGCAGTTGCTCGCAAATCTGTCTGCCATTCAAGAACAATGGGGTGAGTGTAGACTAACACAGAATTTGGAATTATGTATCAGTTACCTAACAAGTTGCCATCTAAAAAGTTAAGGTATTTGACTGGAATTTGTAAGTCAGGAAATAACTTTCTGTTGTCAAGTTAATGTTGCAAAGAGAGTCGTATTCTCAACACAAGTCTATTGTGAGAAAAATCTCTCTTTGTTACTTTGTTCTTCATACCCAATACCAAGAAGAGAACTCGTGCAACTTTTTGCATTTCTCCTGATCCCTTTGCATGCCCTCCTGGTTAACTTAGTCTCGGAGGTAATATTTACTTACATTGAAAAGTGATTACTTGGCTGTTTCTCATTGTGTTAACTTTTGGGTTGTTTGAGAAGATAATTTTGCCTGCTTATCTTTATCGGTAGTGCCGGTTAACTGTTTTTTCCCTCCTAAATATGATGATTCGTAATAGTGACTAACATATTTTACATTTAGAAACAAAATGGAAAACTGCACAACCACATACACTTATGTCTGCAAGGAATTCAGACAAGGGATTTAATGGTGACGACTTTGAACGGCTTGCTGAATTTTGTACAACACATCAAGAGTGAGTATCTCAGAATTTGGTTAGAGTGAGCGTGGATTAGAGAGTATTGGAGAGCCATTGTAGCATCGAGTATTTGAAATACAGGATCCATTTCTTCATTTGTTTTGTTAATGTTTTAAACTAGAGAAATTAAACCAGATAAAATGAAATGATCAGGTTCCTTTCCCAGCTTTATCTGTGTCTTACACTGAGCTCAGTAAAAGGTCAACTCTACACAGGTTCAAAGTAACTTTTAATTAGAGAATTTTAAATATAACCTCTAATTTTGATCTCTGTTTGGTTAAGAAATTAGGCCATTCAGGTGAAAAAAATTGTGTATTAGGGCTTTTTAGTATAGTTATTTGCCAATGTGTGTATATTATATAGTGGAAAACACATTTTAAAGAGTAGTCTAGTAATGGTAATCAAATACAGGAGGATATGTAACCAAAATACTGCAGAAGGAGAATTGCATTTACCAGATAATTTTAAATGGCTTGATTTGTATCTAAGAGTTGGAGCTTTAAAAGTAAATCATAGTTGGAGCTTTAAAACTAAATCATAGCAATAATAAAGCACTTAGATCTTAGATCTGTTTTTAACTCATATATGCAGACTTAGAATTTGAAAGGTGAGGGGCACGACAATGATAAAGCCAGGCCAGGTTGGGATGGGACGCATGGTCCTCGGTCCTCAGCACAGTGTCCTGTTGGCCGTGGGCATGGACACAGCCGTCTGCAGCCTCCACCCCGACCGAGAGGCAGAGCAGTCCAGCCCTCGGAAAGCGCCCTCAGGCCCGTGCGAGGCAGTGCCCAGGCCCCAAAATCATCCCGTCTGAGTTCTGTGGCAGGGTGTGTCCGTTCTCTGATTTCATACGTGCATAATGACACAGACGGCAGACTTTTGTATTTAGCATCTTTTTCCCATCGTTGTGTCCGTGGTACATGTTGTTGCATGTGATAGCAGTTTATTCTCTTCTATTCCTGAGTGTATTCATCATATTACTGGAGCAATTAATTTATTCCTAATAGACATTTGGATCATTTCTGCTTTCTGAATATCATGAATAAAATAGCTGTGAACATTTTCATTCATGCCTTTTGGTGGATATATGCATTCAGTCAAATCAGGTATTCCCTAAAATATAAAATTTAAAAATAGCTTTTATAATCTGATTCCATGGATAATGCCAATAAAATTATGTTCTACTCTAATCTATTTTAGGTTATAATGACACACTAAAATTTTAAAAAGACATGCGTGTTAAATACTTTTTATGTACATAATTAGCAAAAAGAATAAGTAACATTTTCTGGATCTCGGCAGATGTGGTTTATTCGGGAATTCTCAGTCTGTGGTAATTAGCTTTCTGAGGAGACAGACAGACACACAAGGTCGCTGCCCTTTGAACCGTGGGAACCAGCGGTAATGTTTCAGTAGTGAAGCTCTTCTGTGCTAAGATTAGAATCCTGAGAAGCGGTCATTTTCTTTTACAGCCATTTCAGTGGCATTTGTTTGGAAGCATATCACTGCTGTCGTTTTTTTGTTTTTAATTCTTCTCTCTGTCTTTTTCCCTACAGCCCTCTTTCATCCAAACATAAGGTAAGGGATCGTTTTTTTCAAAGTATTTCCAGGAAAAATGTCAAGTGTCAGATGTCTATCGTATAAACTCGTTTAGAAAATAGACCTTTCTCAAATTATTTTCACCTTCTAATTCAATGTGATAGTTTCCCCCAAAGTTGTTTTTTTTTAATTTAACTTGTAGATAGCAGCTGTAAAAAAGTCCCTGGGAAGGAAGTGCATTACACCGTCAATTGCATCTAAAGATCCAAAGGGAAGTGGAGCTCCAGCCAAAGAGCCGGGTACGTTTGCAAGTTAGAGACACCTGCCTCCTCTGATATTTTATACATGTTACGTCTGAATCACTGCTCCATCCCCACTGCTGTACTTACTTCTCTTTTTGCACATACCTTTTCCAGACAAATAGCAAAGGGAGATGTTTTAGAAGCATTATGTAACTCTGTTTACATGTCTAGTAGGAGAAATGACTAAATCTAAATTCTGATAAGAACCTAAAGTTATTTCCATGTTTTCAGCAGGGGTTGTATGTGTGTAACAGACCATGACAAGACTGCAGAACACGCTCTGAAACAGAATTGGTTTTAGTGTTTTCACACATCGTGTTCTGTTTAAAAACCAACATTTGTTACACAGACATGACCAGAAATTTATTCCGGACATGTAACTGTTTAAAAGCTCTGTCTCCTGATCATTTATCCGTAGCATTTGATTCTCTTCCCTGTTATGTTGGCTAACATTCACGGGTACATTTCCAAAGCATTTATGATGTATCTTACACGACTTTGTGTCTATGTCAAAAGTCAAAGATGTTTAGAAACTATTTTTTACATTAGCGCGTTCATTACAAACACTTCAGAAAATAAAGATAAATTATTACACGGTAGGGTGTCTATTTTTCCTGACGTTTGATTTTACTACTAATTTGCATTCCCCGGATTTATGTCCCAGAGCCCTGGTGTTAAACAAAGCAGCATCAGCCATTGGACCTGAGTTGCCTGAGAGATAAAATGATGATGAGGATGTCTGCAGTTTAATCCTCCCTTTTCTCTTTATAAAGTCCTTCCCCCCTACTCCCTAAATTTTCCCTCATCTCCTTTATTTTTATAGGCAAATGTAGGACTTCGCTTTAGGTCAGCCTTACTATATACTCTTCCTCCCGGCTCCTCTGTTCCAGTCGTTTTTAGACTGGAAATCAGAGTCAAATGAGCTTCGCAGAAATCTTAAAGGGAGAAAAAGCCACAAGATGGCCACCTGGCGTGGGCGTGGATGTGCCTCCGTGGCGTGCGCACCGGGAAGAGTGCTATAACAGGCCGATTGATTAAACTTGACACTTAGTACTGCTGCTTGCCCAGCCCCAGCCTGGCACCGGCGGGAGTTTGGCCTCTGCTGGGAAAGGTGTTTCAGACAGGAAAACTGAGACGCCTCTTGTCCGTCACTGGCTTGACCTTTTGATTCACAGCTAGAACCTGGGCCTTCTGATTTCTGATTAGAATGCAGCATGCTTCTCACTAATAACCATCGTACGGGGAGAGTGCAAACTAAATCCTGGGGCAAGAAATCTCGCCAAGTCTGATAAAACAGTATCTTTTAAAGAAAAATGTCCAGTCTCCCAGAATTAGTCTCCTCGGTTTGGTTATTCTGTGAATAGATACATGGAAACATAAGGATATAAGAAGAAAAAATATGAAAATACTACTCTACGTGATTTGAATCGAATACATCGTTCCGGTTTTGCTTTATATTTTCCCATTTTGAATAATGTAAGACTTGTAGTACAGTCTAGATTTTCCTTTTCCTTGTCTGTCTCTCTACATTCCCTGACCCCAAGCCTCTTACATAATGTGGAACGTGGTGTTTTGTGTGTGGTGGTTAAAGCCAGTTTCTGGAGCCAAACTCATCTGGTTTGAATTCAGCTTCTACCACTTAAAGCTGTGTGATCTTAGGCAAGTTACCTAACTTCTCTGAGCCTCCATTCCCGCAGCTCCAAAAGTCACTGTACTTAATTCTTGGGTGCTTGTGAGGATTATGTTAATGATTTCATGTTAAGGGTTTAGAACAACACCAGGCCCAAAGTAAGGGCTCAGTATACGCTCAAGGCCCCCATCCCTCCAGCTCCGCCTCATGTTACCACTGCCTTCCGGTACCAGCATCCGGTACACATTCTCTGCATAGGAATCTCCCATTAGGAAAGTCTTCAAGTAGTTTACATAGTATCTGATCACTTGTCTGTCTCTCTTAACAACCTGCATAAGCCAGGTTGGATCATCTGAGGGAACTCATGGAAACTAAGTGACTTATGCAGGAACAGCACTAATTAGAACTCAAAGCCAAACCCTGGCTTTCTGAACCTGGAGCCTGTGCATTCTTATAAATTCATATTTTTATATGTGTTTAAGGAATATGTTATATGTAAAAGTAATGTGTTACATGCATGGTAAATGATAACAGACAGAAGGCCTCTGAACCTAACACCCAAGTAAGGACTAAATTATTGTCAATTCTCCGATAACTGCCTTTGTGTCCCCTGCTTTCACCCCTCCCCTGATGGAACCATCATCTTGAGTTCCCCAAAATTTATCATTTTCCCCATTTTTCATAGGTTTTGTTGGCATACAATTTCCACACAGTAAAAATGTACCCATTTTAAGTGTGTAATTTGGGGAGTCTCTACAAATGTGTATGTTCACATAATGTCTACCTTTTCATTTCAGAACAGCTAAGTAACAGAAATCCATGTTAATATGAACAGAAGTACTAACAAGAATAAGTTTTATGTTATAATACATACCTGTAAAAATTCAGAAAATATTGTGAATTTGTGAAAATATGTGCACACACACAGCGAATCACACAAGTACCCCCACTTTTTCCTGGAACGCCATTAAAACATCAGAAAGGGCTTCTTAAAAGGCCACAACCCACAGGAACAGGACTGGCAAGGACGCAGCAGCAGATGTGATCCTCAGAAAAATGTGGAAGCTGGAGCGCAGGTGGCTGGGTGGCGCCTGGCTCAGCGCACCAGAGGAAGCCGGGAGCTGTGTGTCCCCAGGGAAAGTGCTGGTCCCTGCCTGCAAAGGTCTGGACCCGGGGACACAGAGGGCGCCACTAAAGTCAAGGGTGTGGGGCCAAAAGACAGCACAAGAAGCACTGAGACCTTTCTATTCCCTCTGTACCAGGCAGGAGGCTGAAGGTTTATTTTGTAGAGAACATGAACTAGAGGCCTTGTGGACTCAGGTTCAAGGATAGGGGTATTATAGAGAAAGCGAGCATTGAATGAAAATTTCTGGACTGAGCCATGAGACCGTTAGCCTGTTCTCTGCAGTAAGCATTCCGAACTGTGACAGCTGTATCTTCTCCTCACTAGGAAACTAGCCCCTCGGCTAGGAGATTAACACCTCCAGCCCCTCTTTGCCTCACAGCGAGAAAGAGTTCCGGAGAAGGCTTGCCTCTAACTGCAGAGCTGTTTGGTACCTTCTTTGAGACGACCTCAGGTAGAGAAGATGGGGACCAGATCAGACAGTCACACCAAAAGAAACTCAAAGGAAACAGAATGAAAGCAGAGGACAGATGAAAAAAATTTTAATTAATGGTCATCTCAGGGATTAGAGAAAATGTATGTGTGAAAATGAGAATAAGATGCTGTTTTCTAGAAAAGGCACATTCGGTGAACTAGAGAAATGTGCACAGAAATTGAAATGTGTGCTGGCCACCATAAAAATTAAAGGGGAAGAACTGAAGGGTGAAATTGAGGCAGTGCCCCAGAAAGCTGGTCCAAAGACAGAGAGATGAAGAGTATGGCAGAAAAGGTAGATGATCAGCCCATAGGTCCCAGAATCCTGACGGGCATCCTAAAGGGGGAGAACAGAAAAGGGACGGGACAATTTATCAAAAAAAAAGAAAACCTCCTAGAATTGAAGGTCATGCGTTTCCACACTGAAAGTCCCACCTAGTGCCCAACACAAAGCACGAGAAGCTTGGTGAAGTTTCAGGACACCAGATACAAAGAAAAGAATCCAGATCTTCCGGGAAGAAAATGTGGGTTACACGGGGTGGGTAGTCAGAATGGTTAATAAACTTGACATTCCTACTAGAAGCTAGTCACACTGCAGGAGCACCTTCCAAATTGTTAGCGAAAGTCATCTTTGACCCAGGAAGCCTTCCTGAAGTTTTTAGGGGTCAAGGAACACGGACTTCTCAGATGTGAAGTGTCCTAAAAAGGTTACCTGCCGTGTACCTTTTCTTAGGAAATGTTCCAACAAGAGGAACAGCTGGGATCCAGAAAGCAAGGTCTCCCACGTAGAGCAAAGGGGGTTCCTGGGATGGCCCGGAAGGGAAGTTCCCCGGGTACCAGTCCTGGAGGGCGGCTGCAGGTTAGGAGCTCTCAAAAAGGATGCGTTTTGAAGCTGCTCGATTATCTGCCAGCATATATGCCTTTGTTGTACATCTGTCAGAGTTTAGAGAAACGTATATGGAGACTTTGTTTAATGAAGCAATGAGCCGGTTATTAACACCAAGGAAAATGAATGTAAATAAGAAAGAAAAATGTCTCGGTGTCCAGTGTGGGCCAGCGTGAGTCAGGTGAACAAAGCCACAGTAAGGTGTGCGTGTCCACGTTGAATTGCCCCAAAGCACGTTGAATTGTAACGGGAAGCTGGGGGCAGGGATATAATACATCCTTTCAGTGCTTTACAGTATTGTTGGGTCACGCCTGTCACTTATATGTCCTTTCTCTTCCCCCCTGTACAGAGCGTTGTTCTGAATCTTAAAACCACTTGTTTTTCTTCCTCTTCAGAGAGAGAAACTCATCCTGGCATGGACCCAAGTCCAGAAAGCCAGCCTGACGCAGAGGCCGGGGAGAGCAACCCCTGCAGCAGTCACACGGCCCAGCAGGCAGATCCCCTGGGCCTTCCTGTAGCTGCAGGGAGCGACCACAGAGCGGAGCCACTGGGCTGCGCGGAGGGGGCCCCCAGGGAGCTCCACGCCCAGCCCCCAGAGACAGCCGGGAGCCGCTGCGGGCCACACTCCGCAGAGAACACTTGTGAGGGTGACGGAAGCGTGCCACTGGGTCAGACAGGCGCCTGCCAAGATGTGGCCGAAATAGAGGGCCCTGCCGAAGACCCTCAGGTGGTCCTTTCCAGAGAGTCGGGGACAGAGCCATTGATTTCACCGGGCTCTGACCACACACCTCCTACGCTGTGTCCTGAGGGTAAACATTCACAGACTCAAAGAAAGGAGCTCCATCTGCCACTCCAAGAGGCTGCTTCTGAGGCGTGGCCCTCCGACCAGCCCCAGCACAATGAACTGAATGAGCTGCAGCCACCCGGCCACAGGGGCAGGGATGGAAAATCACCGCAGGGGCAGGCCGGCCCCGGGGGCTCCGACAGTGTGCCTTGTGGGAATGCGGACGGGTCTGACTTAAGTGCGGGGCCTCCGGACGTGTGTATGGCCCCAGAGGGCCCGGGAGAGCAGGGCGACCAAGTCAGTAAAGAGACGGAGGACTATCTGAACAGCCTTTTGGAAGGATGCTTAAAAGATGCCGAAGACTCTCCTCCGTACGAAGAGGAGGATTCTGATCTTCAAGACCTGTCCCCCGACGAAGCCTCTTACACCCTCCAGGAGCCCCAGCCTGCCGAGGAGAGCTGCCTTTCCCTGGACGATCTCGCCAAAAGGATAGAGATTGCGGAGGTAAAGTTGCCATTCGTTGCATAAATACTCTGAAAAGTAGAATAAAATGTAAAGAGCCAAATCTGTACAAATGCTTCTGTGCTGAAGGTTGCCTAGTCCTTATCAGTTGCCCCCTGGTCTCGGACACTGAGGGAAAATTTAATTGACGTCCACTTTTAATAACGAGGGGTTTTATTTCGTTTGGTCGGGATGTTTATACTGCAGGAAGTAAATCGCAGGCCCCCACAGAGAAGCATTTTGAACATCGGTTGTTTGTGGTTTTGGAGTTTTTTTGGTTTTGGTTTTGGTTTTTTAGGTCCTTGGGTCTTTTATTTGGCAGTCGTGGGAGTTGTGATTGGGATTAGTCACTTTCTTATGGGGAAATCTCATTTTTCTTCTCATACAACTAGGAGATAAAATAGAATGTCTATTCTCTGTTGCTTCCTCTTCTTAATGTATTTTTAATTCTTTGGAACAGTATAAGAGAATGAAGGAAACACTTTAAAATACAGTAAGACTAGAAGATGCTGGATGCATTTTTAAGCCCTTAGAGTAGATGCTGTGAGGGTTCTGTTTCTTACAGTATTTAATTTATAAGCTCTAGATTTGAGCAAACAATACTGAACTACTTGGCTAAGACAAATATTTTAAATCAAAGTTTTAAAGTTTCCCCGAGAAGTAGTGAGTCTAATCAAACCCAAAAGAAGTGAAAAGGAGGAGAGGACCAAGGTGACCACTCTCCTTTGTTCGATGATACAGTTGTTTAAAGTTCGGGGGGTGGGGGGGTGGAGACCGTTTGGGAAAGGTCCCTTGCAGCAGGTGCTGAGGACCCAGGAGGGATCAGGTGAAGTTCCCCAGCTCTGGGAGTTCTCTGCCACCCCATCTGCTCCTTTTACCAGCTTTGTGTTTGAAACAGTTTCCCATACTTGTGTGAATACAGGATTCAAAACGTAATTTCTTAATAACTGAGTGTTCTCGTGAGCAGTATTTTTCACGCCCTCGGGAAGTGCTGTGACTCATGAGGCCACCCTCCGCCACTGCGCTGAGCTGGCCCAGTGGGTCCTCTGTTTTCTCCCCAAACCTCGCTTCTCCCGCCAGTGACCCTGCCCCTCACAGGTCTCCTCGCTGCTTGTCACTCTTTCCACCACTGTGTTGACGGTAGAACACAGTGGTATGTTCTTTCTTTGCCAGTTTTCCCCTTTTCCTTGTTTGTTTGCTTTCATTTTTCTTGCCGCTTCTGCGCTGCCCAGCGCTGGCCTCAGGTGGAACTCGGCTTCCACAACCAACCAGCACCCAGTGGAAGCGTTTGTGGTGTTTTTTAGACAAGTAGATTCACCCCAAAATGGATTAATGGACACACAGCCTCCCAGAGAACTGGAAGTGTCTACAGTAATGGGATGCACATTGATGGGAAGGGTCCAGGTTTGGGAAGCTTTTTTGAATACAGGAATAATTTTGCTAAGTGAAATGACAGCTTCATCTGAGAAACATTACTGTTCTTGTGTAGAAAAGGGGATGACACTGTCCTCAAAAGTATAATCCCCACCTCTCTGCTGTTAAAAAGGCGTCGGAAACATTTATGCTCTTCACATGAAAATTATTAGAAGTGTATCACGTGCACAGTGTCGGCGGGTAAGACACTCACTCGTTTACTCTTTGGCTCAGTGATCGTAACTCACTTCCCCGTGGGGCAGTGCCACACATCAGACAAGGACACTGCCCGAGGGACACCTATAGTCTAACAGACACCTGAGCCCAGTCTCACCTGTCCACTGAGTTTGAGTTTCCCAGTCGTGGGGAGAAGACGGCGTTTCATCGCCATGCCCATCATGTATTTTAAAGTCAGAGCCAAACCCCCTAACCGAGGAAGCTGGTCCCGCTGATAAGTCATGGACCTGCCGGGTGCTGGGGCCTGGGAGGGCTGCCTTGTCCTCCTTTTCAATCCCTCTGTTGTCTTGGCGCCGAAACCTGCGGGAAGAAACACGCTGCACAAATTCAAGGTGCGTCGAGACCCAGTCGCGCACTGCTAATTAATTAGGGTCCATTTGGCTGATAATAAATTGTTATATGGGGGAGGGGTGAAGGAGTTGTTTTGTTTTCTAAATAAACGGCACTCAGATATTGGGTAAGCTTTATAAAGCAGACCTGTTGACTTTGAAAGGACTCATCACGGCCTTGGCAGCAGACTTTAGCAACCTCATTTGCCTCACGAAAATAAACCATTTTCCTCGTTAACATTTCCATGTGTGATCTATTTGCAGAGATGTCATATGTTCAGAAAACTATCTTAAATACTTCGCATTCAAGTAATTTTAATTTTTAGAAGTAACTCATAATAAACACGCTGAGGAAGTAGCCGCGTGGCTACTGCTTGGTCCTTGACAAGCCCGTCACCTGAAAAGGGACAGAGTATTCGGCCCCCTCCCCCCCCCACTGTCTAAACTGATGACATCCACTCAGATAGCTCAGGTCGGCCTGTTTCACAGCCCGGGAGAGGGCACGACCTAAACTCTCTGCGGGGCACACAGACGGCAGCCTGGGACTGCTCCTGGTTTTGTCTGCCAGGCGGCTCCTGTGGCCTCCATCCGTCTGTCTCTCGGCCAGGTCACTGGGGTTGGGGAAGCCAAGTCACGCTAAGACTCGACCCCGTGGGGTACCCTGACCCCGTGCAGACAGGAGGCCTAAGCAGCGGTGCTGTGCCAGGTCATGAACGTGGCTGTTCAGTGGGTCTCGGCCTATGGAGGGTCTGCAGACGAGACCCACATGCCCGAGGCCTGGGCCTTACACACAGGCTGTTGGTATAAACTCTTATGTGCAGTGTCTGTCTCTCCCCAGGGGTCCTTTTGGCTCCGGGACGAAGGCAACACCCCATGGCTTGGCATTCAGGACTGAGTGCCCTGGCCCCCTCTGCCTTTCCAGGGTCCCCTCCTGCTGTTTCTTTGTTCTCCACCTGCACTCGAGTCAGACTGGCCTCGAGTCAGACTGGCCTCCCAGATACGCCTCGCGTGCCGTCACCTCTGAACTTCACCCTGTGTGTCACTGCTCCGAGCGATGAACCTCCTTTCAGACATTTACCTCCTCCGGCCCCCAGGATGTCGTTGTGCCTTTTTAGCCCACAGCCTGCCAGGCAAAGCAGTGGCTCGTGATCAGCAGTGAGTAAATGCTAACTGCTGCCCTTACTGACCCCTGAGGTCTGTAATGTTTACTCTCTTCCCACTGCTGCTCTGAACTTCACATGAGGGAGTGGCTTCAGCGTCACTCATGAAGTCCCATCTCACTGTCGTCTTCCCTGGTTATTGTCGGGGACACACACACACAGTCTTCTGCACTAAACTACAGCTCCTCAGGGGTGGGGATCCTTTTGACCATTTTTATATTCTCAACAAAGCCAGCACAGACTTTAACAGCCACCTCTACACAGGAAGACTTTAAAATTTTTTCTTATGCTGAGTTCACTTTGAAAAGGAAATAACCTTTAAGGGAAAATCTGCGTTATTCAAATAAATATAGGTAGATGCTGTCCGTACGTAACCTGCTTATCCAGGTAGTCGTTCACTCATTGGCATGTTATTAAGCACCTGCTGTGTCCGAGGACTGGAGGGGATGCAGATTCAGTTCTTGTTCTTAGGAGGCTCGTGCTGTAGAGGGAAAGACATGATAACAAGTTCACACGGAATGAACAGTGCCGTTTCAGATATGGGTACCGGCTGTGAGAAGCCTCAGCAGGAAGAGGGGGTGCAGAGACTGACCGATGAGGAAGGGGAGGAATGGACTCTCTCTTCCACAGGCAGTGGGAGGGCGGAAGGGAGCCGGCAGCACAGGGAGTGAGGGGGCTGCTTTGTCCCCTGGCTGCTCCGTGGAGAGCAGACGGCAGGGAGGCAGGGGCTGCAGGAAGGAGACCCGTCGGGTCACTGCAGCTGTTCAGGTGAGGAGTAACTCAGGACGGGGTTCAGGTAGTAGTGGTGTGTGTGGTGACGATGTGTTTCTGAAGGAGGGACGTACAGGACGTGCTAATGGACCAGGGTTGGGGTTTGGTGGTGAGGACCAGTTTCGAGGGGGAGAGAATCAAGAATTCTGTTTTGGAATCTTCCGGTTTAAAACGGTTGACTGGGGGCTAAAAGGTGGGATGGCATCTTGACATTGTTACCACTGCTTTTCCTGTTTTGCATGTATCGTATGGTCCCTTTAAACAAACCAAAGCACTTACAGAAACACGAGGTACTGCCTCATCTAGACACTTAGATACATTACAAAACTCCTATTTTTTTTTATCTTAAGCAAACCTTTCTCTTTTAACATCTTTTAAAAATTCAGCATTAACATGCTTCGTGGTCTTTCACTCCTTCCTCTTTTGCACTCTACACCTGCGGAGCTGTAAGACACAGCGAGGTGGCGGTGAACGTGTTCCTCCATGTGGCTCCTCCCCCAGCTCCCGCTGTGACTTGTAATCACTCACTGTAGTCGTACCTGTGATATCAGTCCACTTTCTGGTTAATTGAATGACACAAAAGGTCTTTCATCTAACCATCATCTCCCCCGTGTCTCTGTATCCATGGATTTAGTCATTAGTTTAAGTATCTTTTAGTTGAGTGATGTGTAAGATGCAGATTTGTTACTAGAGGTATACGCTACTTTAAAAAGACAAAAGACACATACTAGGTTTAATATAACAGGACACTAAAGAAAGTGTTCTCTTAAACTCCTTTGGGTGACATTGGTTGATGGGATTATGTCAGTTTCAAGTGTGCAGTGTTAGAATGTATCACCCGCACTTGCATTGTGTACTCATTGCCCCAAATGTAACTTCCTCGTGTTCGCTCGTATTTGACCCTTTTTACCCTCTTCTAACCCCCCCACCTCCCTTTCCCTCTGGTAGCCGCCATACTGTTTTTTGTGTCTGAGTTTTGTGTTGTTTTGCTTGTTCATTGGTTGCTTTCGTTGTATGTCCCATATATGAGTCAAACATCTGATTCTTGTCCTTTTCCATCATCGCAAATGCAGGGTTGCCATTTGTGACAACATGCATGGATCTCGAAAGTACGCATCATGCTGAGCAAGCTAAGTCAGACAGGATAAGCCAAACTAATAGTCGTAGAAACTAAGATCGTCACATTAGGAAAATGGCAAGAGGTTTGATCCTGAGTTTGTTCAGACTTTGCCAGTAGCTGGTACTACAAGGTTAAGAATGTTTGTTAAACTTTCTCCACTTGGCATCTTCTGGAAAACGGGGCTGGTAATGAGAGTCACAAAGATTGAGTACGATATGTCATGTAAATGTCTTTACCTAAAGCAGGCAGACTAGCTAACTTGTAGGTCTTCTTACAGAGCCCGTGTTGACTGTCAGTTGTCCCTTCGGTGAAGAATAATAGTGGAAAATCTGATGTGTGCCTCCACAAGGGACTGAAGGCAGTTAAACTCTTTGTGATCGTGCCAATCTGCCTTATGAAAGTTAATTCTCAAGTTAGTTGGAAACCAGCGTGTTTGTGTGCAAAATGTACCAGCCTTGAGGTTCTGGGTTGAGTAAAGCCTGCGTCATTAAAAGATATTATTCAGTATCCTTTTTAAAAAAAATTTTGCGAGGGGCTAGTTCTAACATCAGAGACCTCTGAATGTTTACTTTGTCGCGGTGGGATTTACTATGCGCATAGGATTGCAAAATAATTGTGTCTTTACAAGCAGTTCATCGTTCAAAGGCCATTGAAGATGAGCATTGGCCTTTGAGGGGAAGTACCGAATGAATTGCCGTTTATTTGCAAATACTGAGAACGAGGCCAGACGGGATGCCCTGCTGTTGCTGCTGAGTGTTGCACTTTTTCAGGGAGTACCAGCAGTAACAATTACGTTGATTACTGCCTAAACAGTCTTTTAGTTCCTAATGGAAGGGCTTGGTATATTTTGTTTGGGTTGCAAAGAAATTCAGCAATTCAAGTGGAAAGCCAAATTTAGTTTCTGAAGCTTTATTTTCTGAGACTTAAATTCTTTCAATGTTTTCACATCAATATTTTAAGTAGTTTGGAGGAGACACATTTCCGTGTGCCCTGAATCATCTTCCCACCCTACTCAGAACCACTTGGCAGTCTTTTGAGTGAGACCCCAAACTAGTACTGCGACTTCATTATTGTGGCTCACTTCCCTTCTATCATAGAATTAAGGAAAACTCTACCACAGTCATCTCTTAAACTCTTTGTGCTTGACTGCCGCGGTGTGGTGAGTACAAATTTCTGACCTTGAGGTGGGTTCTGAGACGTCTGCCTAAAACTCTTGCCAGAACAGAAAGGCCACACCCACCTGTCTGTCAAGAGTCTGCCCCCTTGGCCAGCCTCTCCAGCATCAGCATCTGTCCACTGCAGGGCCAGAGGGCGGTTAGAAAAGAGGCAGAGGGACCTAGAGAAGATACCGAGCAAGCCTGGAAGGGCTGCTGGGAAAGGGCGCACTGCCCCGCAGACGGTGGGGCAGGCCCCAAGGAAACAACAGGCTTTGGTCTCAGTGGGAGAGAAAATGAAAAGGAATTGAAGCGTGTGGTTAGATTTTTAGCCAAGGATGAAGGGTTAGTGGGGGAGAGTGTCCAAATGTTAGCCCATCCCACCCAACTGTCATTTCTCGTATGCTGCTTCTTCCCTCTTTCAAAAAGCTGCCAAAGTTCATTGTCATATAATAAATAAGATGGGGCCACTTGGGAAGGCTTGTGTCCCTTGGCCGCATGACGTTTAGAGCCAGACACCCCAGACGAGGCCAAGCAGGAGCCGAGGCAGGAGCCTGACAGCTGCCGCGGTGGGACCAGCTGGTCCGTCGGGGAAGCACGTTCTGTGTCTTTGCAGATGATTTCCAAAGTCTTTCTCAGTCTTTCAACGTTCACTTGTTCATATTTGCAATGTCTTTTGATTGATGACTTGGGCCTGTGAGTCGAATTTACAGAGTCAAAGTTCACATCACAAAGATACGCAGCTAACAAACAGTAACACCATGCCAGGGCTGATTCGCAGCCTGTTTTTTCTAAGTAGTTAAAGCAACTTGAAGATGCCCGTGGTATGTAAAGTCACCATTGGTAAATGTACAACTGTTATTTAACGGAGAAAACAGTGTTTCAGAACCTCATTTTTTTACAGTTACTAAAAAAGAAAAGCATCATCTGTAACAGTAATGTATGGGTTGAATTAATTTTGATTTTCCATCTCTTGCTCTTACAGAAGTTACTAGGACTGCTTCCCCTTTCAGGGTGAGCAGCTTGTAAAGTCTTTTCTCTTTATTGTATGAAGGGGCCCTTCATCCTTCCTAAAGCAGGATTGGAAAGGCCGTTTGTTCCTTTGCATATCTGTGCTTACTGTTTTTAATGTCACCAAAGTAGTTTTTTCAGAAGAGGGACATCATCTGAAATTCTGTATGCATTATGTAATCCCTATAAAAAGAATACATTGCTAACATTGATTTTTTTTGAGATAATGGTTTCCATAGACCCTTGTAAAAGACCATATTGAGTGAATTGTTGGCCCTAAAAGCCTTGAGTTATAAAAAGAACTAATGGGATCTCTCATATTCCTGCACTACGCATTATCAGAGGTGGCTGGCTGGACCTGGAGATCATGTTAGATATTTTGTGCCGTTGATCAGACCAGTGCCATTACAAGCCGTCCTGAGCTTTCAGGTCTGACACCAGCAAGTCCCTGACATCTACAGTGTTAGGCCCACAATGCCCACCTGTGTCATCACCGGTGGCCAAGCAGGCAGCTCGCAGGTCAGCTTGTGTGAACCAGCTGCTGCTGAGGTGGACCTTCAAGGCTTCCTGCTCCCTGGCCTGGCTCCACCAAGGGTCCTCCCCTCATTCTCCCTGCACCTTGGAGTCTTTTCCCTCCTAAATGGCAAGGGTTTTTATTTCTGTCTTGGTTTGTAATAAGGGGCGGGGCGGAGGCAGGAAAGAAGTGAAAACCAGGAGACAGAAAGGGGTCAAGGCAGGGGCACTGAAGAGATGCTAGACAGTCTGTGGTAAAGATTCCAGACTCTGGTCTGTTCAAACTGCTCGGTTCTGCCGCTGTAGCCCAAAAGCAGCTGTAGACAATATGTAAATGAACGGGTTTGGCTTTGTTCCAATTAAGTTTTATTAAATTAACATAGGCAGAAGGTCTTTGGCCTACTGACCCTGAGTTTGCCAGCCTGTGTGTTCATATTACAAAATCCTATGTCCCTAGTAAACTGGCTCTGATATTTCTAGAAGGGGAGTCCTTAAAACATCTTGAGCGGTGGAGCATTCTTAAGTAAATGTATCTTTTCTCAGAGGAACTGAGGACAACACCTGTTTTGCCGTTAAAAGTTATTATCAGCCCTGGCTGGTATGGCTCAGTGGATTGAGTAACTGGCCTGCAAACCAAAAGGTTGCCAGTTCAATACCCAGTCAGGGCACATGCCTGGGTTGCTGGCCAAGTCCCCAGTAGGGGCACGCGAGAGGCAACCAGTCTGTGTTTCTCTCCCTCTCTTTCTTCCTCCCTTCCCCTCTCTCTGAAAATAAATAAATAAAATTTTTTTCTTAAAGTTGGTACCAAGTATATATTTTTTAAAGATTTTATTCATTTATTTTTAGACAGAGGGGAAGGGAGGGAGAAAGAGGGACAGAAACATCAATGTGTGGTTGCCTCTCAGGTGCCCCCTACTGGGGACCTGGCCTGCAACCCAGGCACGTGCCCCAACCGGGAATCAAACCTATGACCCTTTGGTCACAGGCCGACACTCAATCCACTGAGCCACATCAGCCAGGGCTCAAATATATTTTAAGTCTCACGTGTTTATTTCATTAAAGTTGCCGATGAATGACAAAAGCAGTGGCGGATTATGGGCCTCTGTTATAAAGCCAAGCCCAGCGCTAACAATTAAGCAAAAAGAGGTCATAAGTGATCATTTCACAGATTATCTCACAGGGACAACGGAGCCCAAGGGCAAAGCAAGGCAGTTACAGGAGGCCTGGCTCCGCCCACTGCCTGGCCCTGGAGTCCTTCGGGGCTTCAGAAGAAGCAGTTTTGAACGTGTATTTGGCAGTCATCTACATAGACATGAGAGTGTCGTTCTGTTAGATTTTGACGGTTGAGATTTTTAGTAGGAGTTAAATCAACCTAGAACAGAAATTCAAATGCCCATTGAACTGAATTAGCCCCGTTACCAGTGCCTATAAAATGCCACTGATATTCCCTGCAGTAATTGAACGAGCGCTTCTTCCTAACCCTTGGCAGGTGGCTCCTGCTGAGGGCCTGGTCTCCATATTAAAGAAGAGGAGCGATGCCGGGGGAGACCGCCCTGCCCAGATGCAGCAGAGACCATCCAAGCGGCGAGTGAGGTTCCAGGAGATAGACGACCACCTAGATCAAGGTGAGTGAGTGCTGAGTGCCCGGCTCGGCCCCGGGGCTGACGCAGGCTCGACTACTGGCATGCGCTGAAGCACCCGCTGATGTAAGAGGTAACAGGCTTTGTAAAAGAACAGGTAGGCCTGCTCTTTTTAAAATCTTCTGTGCAGAAGCACAGAAGTGATCTACCCTCAGTTCTTAAATAATTCCAGAGCATCTTGTTAGCTCAGGTAAGTGAGCACATTGCGAAATTCAGCTCATAGCCTTCCTATCCCACATTCAGTCCTCGATGTTCGGAACTGATTTGAATTTCCTTGTTTAGTGTTCTGTTTTGTTTTGGGTTTATTTTTTGCTGCTTTTTTTTTAATGAGTCTGCTATCTTTGTCTTCCTTCCAGCAACAGTTAATTCTCCTATTTTGTATGTGTGGAAAATATTTATAGATCACACGTGTGTTCTCTCCAGTGAGTTCTTGGCTCTACAGAAGGAAGAGTCTCTTCAGAGCGGCAATTTAATACTGAAGCCATTCTCTGCCTCCCCTCCTGGGCCTGTGTGGAAGGTGGTTGCTAGGTTTGCCTCAGGCCTGGGTAAATGAGGAGGAGTGGGAACAGAGCCAAAAACCTGTGAGGGCGCTTCTTGTGTTTACAGAGTAACAGCGGAAGCACATAGATGCGCTTTCTAAGTATAACTCTAAGGGACGGAGGTTTCTGGGTGTCTGTGCCTACAAAGCTGGCAGGAGCCCTGGAAATAACCTGCTCCCCCCCTCACGCTTCCGCTGCCCCTTGCCCGTGACTCACACTCTTCCCCAGAGGAAATGCTGGCTTCTTCGCTTGCACTGATGGGCCCCGAATCCTTGCTGACCAGGAGGAGCCCCGGCTTTTGAACCGACAGGCTTGTTTCACTCGGGAGCCGTCCTGCCTTACACCGAGACACTGCATCCTCGCGGTCTGCACCGTGGACGGTGCAGCCCTCCACACTGTCTCAGCACATGGACAAGACCGAATGGGTGCTTCTGAGTAGCGTCATTTAGATTCCATGTGTAAATATGTGATTATGAAGGAAAATACGGGAAGATACATAGATTATTCACATAGATAAGGCCAAAAGGAGGAAAAGGTGGTGAAAATACCAAACTGACAAAAAACACAACTGATAAATGATCGTATTTATTCATTTGTGTAAAAATGCATTTGCATATATACCTATAAAGTATTAAATCTATTTAACTTAAAACCTGTTAAACTAGACATTTGTAGAGCACAGCACAGTGTGGTAAGGGAATCCTGTGTACGTGAAAGTCCCGAACCGTCTGCATTTGATTTGGGAGGACGAACACCAGGGTTGGCCCCCAGGGTGGGAGGGGAATGTGGCCGGGTGGGAGAAAAAGGGGGGGAGTCCCTTACAGCAGACTTGGTGTCTGAATTTTCACGGGAACAGTGTATTCACCTGTTCCTGTAAAGTCTTCCAAAAGTAACACTCGCTCCTGTTGAAAACCCAGGCAGGAAGGAGTTACAGACGCGTAAGTCCTGCAGTGCTCCCTTGAGAAGGTTTCCCCAAGTACTGACTGAAGTTTCTCATTACCCTTTCGAGACACATTCTGTATATGCATGTGCATGTGTGTGCACGTACACAGTGACACACATGTCTTTTTTAACACACATGGGTTTGCTATGTAATGTTGTGCCTTCAACTTAACTATTGATCTCAGACAACTTCCTGTGAGAGAATATGTGGATTTACTTCACTCCGTGAAGCAATTGCATAGTAAACACTATGCGAATGTTCTGTAATAATTTAACAATCCCACTGTAACTGAACTAAGTAAGTTATTCTCAGGCTTTGTTATGACCAACTCTGCTGCAGTGAACCTGCTCGTAAAGGTGATGCGCTGTGTCACGCGAGTTTGTCGCTGACCCCCAACCGTGGGTTTGCTGGGCCCAGTGACAGGGCCCGGTGGCCGGGGTGGCTCTGGTTCACGCCTGATGTCCCACACTGCGTTTGGTCAATGCTCTCTTTCACCCGCAAGAGTGTTCCAGTCCGGAGGGTGAATTGATCTAAAAATTTAATAGATACTGCCGAACTGCCTTCCAGGAAGGTTTGGTTCACCCTCGTTATGCTGATCATAAAATTCTTAGTCTTCACCAAATATATTTTCATTGTTCTGGAATCATTAGGACTTCCTATACTTCTTCACTATAGAAAACTGATGTGGACATTTTTGTTAAAAACAAGCCTGCCTGAGTTAGTAAACAAAATGAAAAGAAATCCCTCTACCAGCTTGAACTTCACTACTCCACTAAATAAGAATGAAACTGAGTATTACTAAGATGCGAGAATAATCCCAAAGTCATTTTTTTATTGCTTAATATCAAGTTGACTTTGCTTTAAGGTAGTCCCATGAAGTGACCTGCAAAGATATTGTAACAGTGAGGTTTTAATTTGTATTTTCAAATAATGTCATCGAAGAGGGTGTTGCCTCCCTTCTTTTTCTGTGGAAGTGGCCGTATTTATCATATGAATGAGCTGGGTTCAAATGGAGCATGGACGCGCTCCATGAGTGTGTCTTTGTGGTAACTCCTAAGTCGGTCCTCCTGGGGTCATCAGGTGCGCTGGCTTTCTGTCTGTGTCACCTGTCCCCAGGGAACCACTGGCGAGACGTGCGGTCGTCCTTCTTGGTGAGCAGGCGGTGGGTGCCCGGTCCCCCCCGTCGTGTGGGTTTAACCTCCCCCTGTTCTCACGTTCGCAGATGAGGTCGGAGGGGGCTCCTGCATTCTGCTGGTCTTGCTGTGCGTCGCCACGGTGTTCCTCAGCGTCGGGGGCACTGCGCTGTACTGCGCCTTCGGCGACATGGAGTCGCCTGTTTGCGTGGACTTCGCGGACAACGTGGACTTCTATTACACAAAGCTCCTGCAGGGCGTGGCGGGACTGAAGCACTGGGTCTACCTGTCCTAGCAGGGTTCCAGAGGGACAGGCGTGCTGGCAGTGAGCGTCACGGAGCCGAACTGTCTCAACAGCTTTTATTTTAGGAGTCGTGTGATGTGCGCCCCCTCCCCACCCCGTCAGCAGCCGTGGACATCGGAAACAGCATCTTGCAATGGCGGTGTGGAGGGACTCGCAGAATCCCCCAGGCAGGGAAGCGCGGTCGGGCTGAGCCCTGCGGACTGAGGGATGGTCACTGGAGAGCTGTCCCTCTCCTCCTTGCCTCTCCCTGGTGTGATGAGCTGTGCGGAGCAGAACCAGGCAGGGCGGTGTCGGGGCCACTCCGTGAGCTTGCTTTTCAAGCTGTCAGAGGACACTCCTGGCTTACATCGGTCCAAACCCAAGGCTTCTGGCCGTCACGCAATAAGTTTGTGTGCAATCCCAAGGGGTCACCTATGGTTTCGATGTCTTTTTCAGTTAACCTCGGGAGCGATGTAATTTAGGCTTGATGTGTTACTTCCAGATTCTGTCCTCTGTTTGTGGAATGGCCATGTGTGTGTGTGTGTGTGTGCATGCGTGTGCATTTCAGACAGTTACTCACTAGCAAATACCCCACACGACATAACAAATCTTTATTCTTTCAACGTGACTATAGATGTGCAGGCACAAATCCTTAAAGATGGTTAAACTGTGGAACAAGTGAGTTGTCGAAATCCTGGCCAAGAAATGAGGAACCGTGACAGATCTGTGACAGTGAACTTGATTGACTAGCCAGAAATGAATCACAGGCCTAAAGATAAAATTAAAGAGCTCCCTTGGCATCTCAGGCAGCCATTTCTTTCACGGATTCGGCGCTTCCCAAACTACGATGGTTGCTGGACTCAGTTCAGCGAGCACTTATTGAGCACCTACTGTGTTCTGAGAAGCTAAGAACTCAAATACAAAGGTAAATAAGATGTTAGTTCCTGCTCTGGATGTTTAATTCCGCCTTATGCTAAAAAAATACTTTGGCAAGTGAAATTAAATCGCCATACGTAGTTCAGTATTAACAGGTCATGCAGTCGGGTGTTTGAATGAGCATTCACATTTCGGGCTTGACTTAGACCTCTTCTGGGGTCTTGGCGAAAATCCAATCATGTCTTATACAAGCAAATGTCTGATAAAGTTTTGTTAGAATCTGTCGGGTGACATCTCCTTTTCTAAGGTCTAACAGTTAGGAAGCCTTGGTTGGCTTTTTTTTATCATCGACAGCATTTTAAAAGAAAATACATGAATTATAGTTTTTTAGCATGTGATCATTACTTCACGTTTTTCTGTCAGAATCATTTGAAAGAAAAGGGTGAAATTACTTTCTAGTTGTTACTGGCTGGTACAGTACCTTCCTTTTTGTGTTTCTGCTTATTTATTTAGATTCCATGAACTTTAAAGGGCTTTTTCTATATGTTGAAAGTGTGTTGCCGAGCATGCATTTGGTTTATCCCAATGTAGGTATTACTGTGTACTTAGCATTTTGATTCTCTGTCAATTCAAGTCCTCATGTTTTTAGGCTTGTTTATTTTTTAAATTGATGTTTTATTTTCACTTATAATATTATTCAATTTGTCTCATCACCATCAACTAATATTTTCCAGGATTATAGATCAAAGATATTTATTTAGGAGTGTACAAGATACTGAAATTTAGATTGCTTATACTTAAGGCTGATTTTATTAGAAGATTATTTTAATGTTCTATTATAAATTTTAAGAGTTCGTACTCAAAGTGTATGTAAAATGTGTAAATGTCGACGGTACTACCTTCCGTGGTTCTATAAAAGACATTCACCACGCCTGCTGGGAGGACCATCACAGGCAAACCTGTGTGTTCCGCCCTCTGGTTTCTAGTCACGGGAATTCGGTGAGTCTGATTCCTGCCACTTGTACATCACGGTAAACCAAAACTTCCCTCCTGTTCTCCCCCTTTCAGGTCGCTGTCAAAGTCCCTAGTAAACTGTAGTGTTCGATTTGCCTAGAGACCACCAGAACCACCATTCTGACACCGAGGGTTTCCCTCGACACTGAACTGGAGGGATGGAGGGAGTCCCTTGGTCCTGGGGGGGGGGGCCCCCGCTGGGTCTCAGAAGAACCGTGTGCGACCTCACCGCTTCCTGGGGAAGGTTCGGTGAGTTCGGGAGCATATGAATGTCTCGACTTAACGCAGGTGTGAAAATCCCAGCCAGAAAAATAAGGCCAGCATTTTAAGGATGTCATAGTCATTTGCTGCATGAATTGGACTAATCCCATCCATCTGGTGATGAAAGAATTGTTATCTCACACATTAAAAATTCACGCAGCTTCACTATAATGTAATTTTTTCTGCCATGTGGAAGTCCTGACAGCTGTTTGTCCCCAGTCTTCCTTAAGGACTGTATTTGAGGGTAACAGTTCAGGCTTGCAATTTAAGAGCAACACCAGCCAAGTGTCTCAGAGACTTTATTTGCATCCTTGGGTGATGAGAAAAAGTACTTTAAAGTGAAAGTCAGATGCTTTCAGAAGTTGGCCTGGCCCCACAAATAGGTAGCTGTCTATTCTGGGAAGTCAAATAGGTCCCTGGTAGAGGTTCCGCCGCTCCAACAGCACCTCCCCTGTCTGCCTGACATAATCACTGGAATTTGCTCCTAAAATTCATCCCTTAAGATTAAAAAATCAGAACCTCCTCGGAGGTTTATTTTTTTAGGCAGTGAATTTGTGTCTCATGCTGAGAGGACTTGAAATTTGAAGACTGGCCTTATTTTGGAAGGACAGACTTGAACTTGGTCTTAGGAGAAGTGGGCATGGTCAGTAACGCTCTGGAATATCCTCCTGGGAATAAAATAGATTTAGACCGTTACCTTGTGTAACACCTACAAATCAACTTGAAAGAGTGAATCTAATGTAAAGCTGAAACTTCTAGAAGAAAACAGGAGTAAATGTTCGCAGCCCACGGGTAAGCAAAGATAACTTACAGTACAAACATACACCAACCGTAAAAGAAAAGAAATCAATTAACTGGACTTTAGAAACTTGTGCTCTTTGAAAAACAGGTTAGGAAAATTAATAAGCAAGCTGAAGATTAGAAAAATTATTCATATAATATGCTTAACAAGTAAATGTGTGTGTGTATATATATATGGATATACCCACATACATATATATGACTCTCCTTGACTTACGGTGGGCTTGGCTTACATTGCAAGATACCTGTCATCTGTTGAAAACGTCATAAGTTGAAAATGCATTTGATACTGCCCTGGAGTATCAGTTGTTTACCCTTGTGATTGTGCGACTGGCTACTGCTGCCCAGCATCACAAGGAAGTATCAGAGGGAATACAGCTAGCCCCAAAAAGGATCACATCCAAAATCTAAACGACACTTTCTCCTGAACGTGTATCACTTTCACACTATCATACAGTCCAAAAAATTAGAACTTGAACTATCGTGAGTCAGGGACCATCTCTATATAATACCAAAGAATTACAAGAAAGCTACCAAAGTTAATACATGAATTCAGCAAACTTGCAGGGTACAAGATCAACACACCAAAATCAGTTGTTTCTAAACAGCAACTAATGTTCTGGAAAGGAAATTACAAAGGCAATTTCATTTACAATAGTACCTGAAAGAATAAAATGCCTCGGAATAAATTTAGCAAAGAAGACTTGTACCCTGAAAACTGCAAAACAATGCTGAAAGAAATTAAAGAAATCTGAATAAATGGAAAACTACCCTGTGCTCATGGGTAGGAAGATAATACGGGGCAGGGGACAAAAGTAGGTTTACAGTTGTGAGTACACAAAACAGTTTATTCTTCTATTATTACTTATTAATCATTTGTATTATTTTTCCGTACGAACAACTGTAAATCCACTGTTGCCCCACCTTTGATTGTTAAAATGTCACTCCTCCCCAAAGAGATCTATAGGTTCAACCAGCCCCTGTCACAATCCCAATAGCCTTTTTTCTTTTTTTGCAGAAATGGAAAAACTGATTATTAAATTTATATAGCATTGCAAGGGGACCTAAGTAGCCAAAACAGTCTTGAGAGAAGAGAGAGAATTGGGGGACTCACATTTCTCAATATCAAAACTTACTACAAATCTGCAGTAGTCAAAACTGTGATACTACCATAAAGACAGACAGACCAATGGAATAGAATTATGGTCCACAATGGAGCCCACACATCTTTGGCTACTTGGTTTTTGATGAAGGTGTCAGGTATATTCAATGCGGAAAGAATACTCTTAAACAAAGGGTTCGTGGACAACTGGATTTCCACATGCAAAAGAGTGAAATTGGACCCCTGCCTCACACCTTACGCAAAAGTCAATGCAAGATGGGCTGAAGACCTAAGCATTAACTAAATCTATAAAGCTCTTAGAGGAAAACATCAGGGTAAATCTTCATGACTATGGATTTGGCAATGAATTCTTAGATAGGACACCAAAAACACAAGCAACAGAAGAAAAAATAGATAAATTGGACTCCATCGAAAGTTTAAAAAATTTATGGATCAAAGGGAACTATCAAGAAAATAAAAAGACAACTCACAGAATGGGAGAGAATATTTGCAAGCTAAACATCTGATAAGGTATTAGTATCCAGAATAGACAAAGTTTGCCTACAGCTCAACAAAAAGAACCCAATGCAAAAATGTGCTAAGGACTGAAGTATCCATTTCTCCAAAAAAGATATGCAAAGTTTTGAAAATATAGGATGAGGGTGTTGGTTACACAGCATTGCAAATGTACATAATACCACAAAATTGTACAGTTAAAAATGGTCGCCCTGACTGGTGTGGTTCAGTTGGTTGAGCATGGTCCCACAGAGCAAAAGGTTGCCAGTTCTATTCCTGGTCAGGGCACATACGTGGGCTGGGAGTTGCGTCCCCGAACAGGGTACATAGGAAAGGCAGCAAATAGATGTTTCCTTCTCACATCGATGTTCCTCTCCCTCTCTTCCTCCCTTCTTCTCTCTCTAAAAATAAATAAAACCGTGTTTAATGGTTAAAATGGCAACTTTTGTGTTACACATATATTCTCACATAAGTGTGCACACAGGCAAAACAACCGACACTACCAAGTGTTGGCGAGGATATGGGACAATGAAACACATGCACAACTAGTGATAATACGAAATGATGCAACCACTCTGGGGCGCAGCTTGGCAGTTTCTTAGAAATTTAAGTTCGCATCTACTGCATGACCCCGAAACTCCACACCTAGCTTTATCCATGATAGTCCAAAAAAGTGGAAACAGCCCTCATTATTTCAATAAATGCCTCTTCAATTAAAAAAAAAACAAAACTGTGGATACACAAGTGACATGAATTAATCTCAAAATATTATCACTGTGAGTGAAAGAAACCAGAAACAAAAGAGGATGTAATGGATGTTTCCATGTATATAAAATGTTAGAAAAGACCAACTCATTCTTGGTGACAGAAACAGACCAGTGGTCTCCTGAGGGGCAAAGGACGGTGGGAGAACGGTCCTGGGCAGCTTTGGGGAGGGACAGAAATGGGTCTCTATGGCGGTCGTCATGTCATGGGTGAAATTCATCTTCAAAATGAGTTGTGCACTTTATTTAGATGCGGTTGTGTACAGAAATTATACCTCAATAAAATCGTTATTTTAAAAAAGAGTTGTTCGGCTTGGAGCTTCATGATATCTCAAGGGATTGACAGGGACAAGGGAGTCCCTAACACATATCACAATTACTTTATTCCTTTTCACTGTTGTTGCTTCATTTGTTAGAAAAAGATGGCGGCCTCCAAGCCCCTCATTTGTACATGGCAACTACTCAGCTGGCTGCTGTTGAACAGAGCGTTGCAATGAGGTAACTCGGTTCAAAGTGCCTTGATTTCAGTCCCAATTTTGTTCTCAGCTTTCTCATCCCTCTAGGTCCTTCTGAAATGTTGAGACGGTGATTTAAATCTATGCTGTTTTTTTTTTTTTTCACTCAATGCAGCCATCCAAATTCTGAACCTAATCTAATTATAGAGTAGACTCTAAGGACAACCTGATCTCCTTCTGGCCAGAATGCATTGATCAGAAGTGAAGTTTTGGGATGTTTATTGCTTTTTGCGATGGCCGTGCATCGAGGGTCAGGAAGGAGACACGCACTTAGGGAGCAGAGTAGCCTCACATTAGTCATGAAAATGATGACTGCCCATAAATGGCTGGTTCTGGTTTTCCCAAGTGCAAGATTGGGGGTTGGTAAGATCTGAACAAACCAAGCAAAGAAGAAGAAGGGAAAATGGCCATTGAATGGCCATTGAAATGGCCAAGAATTCCATTCTTGGCCTAAAGTCCTGGTCTGGACAGGAATTTGGCCTACAAGTAACTGTAAATACAGTCCGTTTGCTTTCCCCCCACCCCATTTTACTTTTTTCTTTATGGGAAAAACAAAATTACTGGGATGGGAGGAGTGGTGTGGTTGGCCCTGGAGAGAAGACTGCGGGTGAAGGGCAGTTTGGCGGCCCAGAGAGCCACGGAGGGGAGGCGGTCCCTGCCACAGGCTCCCTGCCGATGGGCGAGGTCACGTGAACCAGCATCTCGGTCTCCTCCGAACACTTCAGTTTTCTCATCTACATAATTTCTAGGACAACTTGAAATTTCAAAATCTGCCGGTTCTTTGGTTATCCAAAAGCAGTCTACTTCCATCATTGAGAAAAGACAATGTCTGTATTTGGTGAGTTGGCCAGTAATAGTTGGATTAGGTTGGATGGGAGTTCTTTGAAGCTGTTTGGGAAGGTAAGAGGTGGAATATACTCACCCCTCCACTGGGCCCAAAGTCCCTGCTTGAGGAAGAGACCGCCACAGGGGGTTCCTTACACAGGGGACCTGGGAAAGCGCCTGTTCCTGCAGATCAAGAGCCACACACCAGATCTTGTGCAAACAGGGTCTGGCCGTTTAACCATGTCCTATTAGGCTTACCGGGAAATCAGTGGGAGACACTGTCTAGTTGGCTCTGCTGTGTCGGAAGTGAAGCTGGGATCTGAGGAGTTTCAGCGACCCTCTTAAGGTCAAGATCAGCAGACGTGGTAAAAGGGTTTCCACTTCTGAACAAGAAGCTTCTTGGGGTGGGGGAGCACACTCATCAGGCCATAGCTGTAGCCTCCTTCTGCTGGGGGTGCCGCTCTTACTGCTCCTCTGTTACCTGCCACTTTGTCACCTGCATTGTTGCTGCTCTGGGTCTTACATACGGAAAAGACAGCAGAAGCCATTCATATCCGCGAACCACAGGCACAGGGGCAGTTGGTGTGGAGCATCCGGTGCTTCTGTGAGGGACCCTGGGCGGCCCCTGGAGGGAGGCAGAGGGCTTCCCTGGCAGACCCTGGACACACCCTCGATGCCCGAGAACCAGATAAAATGCAGCATGCCCAGTTATTGCGTGAGACCTACTTACACTAATAAATAATACATTTAACTGGGTATCCTATATTTGTCTTGCTAAATCTGGTGGTCTTTTGGCACAGCCTGCTGAGGGCCAGTGGGGCTGGGATGGGGGAGCATGGTCATCAGGAAGAGAGAAGCAGCAGGGACTCGACATGCAGGGAGCTCTGGGGAGCAGTTCAGCTCCCCTTTCTGCAGGTCCCAAGCAGCTGCCCTGTGCCGTGCCTGTGAACAGAAGACTTAGCTCCGGGACTGCTGATGCATCTGCAAAGAGACAGAATGTGGCCAGAACTCATTGGCATTTCTGGTACTTAAAACTGTGTGTCTCTGACATTCAAGAATGCTTTTACAGCCCTGGCTGGTGTGGCTCAGTGGGTTGAGCACTGGGCCTTCAAACCAAAGGGTCGCAGGTTCAATTCCCAGTCAGAGCACATGCCTGGGTTGCAGGCCAGGTCTTCAGTAGGGGGTGCATAAGAGGCAACCACACATTGATGTTTCTCCTCTTTCTCCCCCCCTTCCCCTCTCTAAAAATAAATAAAATCTTTTTTAAAAATGTTTTTACTCTTCCACAAAAGTGAGAATGTTATCAGACCTTAGAATGCAACGCAAAACATTAATTTAATGCTACCCCTGTGTACTGTGTGTCCTGGAGTGTCCAACACACACTCCACATCCACATTTGCAAAATTGCGTTGTACTCCCAGTTTTCAGAGAGCACCAGCTAACAACACGATTAGGAGACAGGGCCTGCAATACCCATTTTATTTAGCTTGTAAGTTGCCTAGCTTTTATTCAGGCCTTGTTCCAGATAGAAGGGTGCTGGCCGTGCCTAGCTGAAACTAAATTATTCACCTCCTCCTCTGCGATAAAAGATGGCTTTTTAATTTTGTGTGTGTTCCTTGGCTCAGCTTTCGATTGCCACTGCTTTTCCCCAGCAACTGATAGCCTCTCCACCTTTTTTCTTTCCGATCCTCGAGACCAGTTGCTTGTGACGAGGGCGTCCCTCCTCTCGGTCTGACCTCTCAGAACAGCAGCCTCTATATCCTCCTGCTAAAAATGATTACTCGTCAATAGAAGTGCATTAGGATTAGCTGGGGCCCGAATCCATCTGGTCTCTTCCTTTCTGCTCAGAGTGATGAATTGGCAAAAGGGCAAAAGAGGAAGGTCAGGGAGCAGGCGAGGCCTGCCCAGATGCCAGACGCCTGGTGCAGACTGACCTCCGTGTGTCCTGGGACGTGCCCTCTCCTGAACTCCCCGGCCACTGGACATTCCGGTGTGGGAGACAGAAAATGCCACGTTTGTCTGCGAAGCATCCTGGGTGAGTCAGAGGGGAACACAAGTAAGAATGGAGGGGAAAGCAGTACCAGGTAATAGAAGTGCGGAAATCATGCATATTGATGAAAGTGTGCCTGTCATTCTTTTTTTCCCATCTAGCTAGTGGCTCCTCCGTCTAGCAAGGCATCGATCAATACTTCAGAGAGCAATGATTTTAGTAACAAAAAAGGTCAACAGAAAACATTGCAATGGTAAACAGACAAACAAGCAAGCCTGAGAGAGACTCCTGACCTCATCTTTGAGTTTAGTCCTTCCCCGCCCTGTAAACTGATAAATAACCCCTCTGACATGACCTTTCTTTTTTTTTTCACCCAACCTCCCTTGGCTACTTGGGTTTCTCTCTCCTGAGACTGAAATAAAACATCTTCTAGACTTCACCACTACGAATTCACAGAGCATTATTAGGTTCCGTGCAGCCAGAGAAGAGACACAGGGACATTTCCAAACTAGGCAAAGGCAAAACTTGGAGACCTGTTCATCCAGATTCAAGACAGTTTCTATTTTTAAAAGGCTCTCACATCAGAGTTAAGTTCAGGTTCTGTTCTCAAAGCTGAGAGTGTCTGCTGGTTTCCATGACCACCCTCAGTGGCTAGGATAATACCAAAACAAAAGCCAGAGGACTTGGTGACTTTACCTTCATTGTGTGGTCAGATTATAGCTGATTAAAAGAAAGAGTCTAGTCCTCACCACTGCTGTCTCTGGCGTCTTCATTTTTGCCCGGTGGGGCGCGTGGGTGAACAAGAGGCGAAGGGAGGGCTCCCCTCTCACTGTGCTGCGCTCGGGTTCACCCTCCAGAGGGTCCTTCCGATGGGCGAGATGTCGGTGAGTGACACAAGATGGGCCATCAGGATTCCTGGGGACAGTTGCTCCAGATAGCTCCGTGGTTGTTCCCTAAATAAGCTCTGGGGCAGGCTCACTTTCTTTTTTTCCTCCGAAGAAGAGATTCCTAAGACCAGCATATGGGTCACAGGCTGTGGGGTTCAGGGTTGGGGAAGAGGACACAGACGTATCATCATCTGTCTCTCAGGGTGCCAGGTTCAGCTCCCGAATCTCTGGCAGAGCCTTCTGCTGTCTCCTGGCCCTCCCGTCACTCCCCTGGGAAGGAGAGCTCCGGGGAAGGTCGTGCCGGATGATCGCACCGTCACGTGAGGCGCTGGGCACCTGGAAGAGCACCTGCACCGTCCCCGTCTCACACCTTGCCTGAAACAAGCCTGCCACATGCTTGGCTGGACAATCCCTAGGCATCTACTCTGCTGGCGTGGTTCCGTGGACTGAGCGAGAGCCTGCACACCAAAGGGTCACTGGTTCAATTCCCAGCTGGGGCACATGCCTGGGTTGCAGGGCTACTTCCCAGCTGGGGGCGTGCTAACAGCAACCAATTGCTATTTCTCTCGCACATTGAAGTTTCTCCCTCCTTTCCCCTCTGTCTAAAAATAAATAACATTTAAAACATTTTTTTAAAAACTTGTGACTGGACAGAGTGTCACCAAGGGCAGTGATAAGGTTTTGCACCTCCCTGTACACTACGGGTCCTGCTTCATCTTACATTCAGTGTATACATTTTTTAATTGAAGGAAGGAAGCCAGCTTTTATTACTCTGGGAGGTGCTTGCATGCATGTCTAATCGGGAGGCAGGATGGTGGAAACCATAGGCAAGGCTCTAGTATCAGAAAGACCTGGACTTAAATCCCAGTTTTCCCACTTACTAGCTGTGTGACACTCAGCTACTTACTTAACCTCTCTGAACCTGTTTCCTTATCTGTAGAATAGGAATATAATAAGTCACCTCCTAAAGCTGCTATGAGGATTAAATTAGGTAATACTCGGGAGACATTCAAGAAATGGTAGCTATTAGTGTTGTTATTATTGTTGTTAGTAGTAGTAGCCACAGAATCACTCTGTGATTGCAGG